GGTCTCCCACCTTCTACTGGTCCTCCTCCTCCCTTAGACTGTCCACAGCCTGTCCCGTCACAGTTACAGTTACAGCCGGCCTCCCCACTGCCCGCTCCTTCTCCCTACACTGGTCCTACTGGAGGTCTTACTGAGCGTCGTGAGCCTGCGTCTCGCCCTGCGTCGCCTGTCCGTGCTGCTCGCACTAGTGGTCGTGGTTCGCGTCAGCGTCCTCCTCCTGTCCCTGGCACGCACCGGATGTCTCTGCGTCCGTCCACTGCTCCTCTGCGTGCCCCTTTGCCTTCTCCTCCTGAGTCCTCTCTTCCTGCTCTTCCTGACCCGGAGTCGGACTCCCGTCGTGCTGCCAGTCCGACTGTCACGCGTCTCCTTGCTACTGTTGTCACTGACCCTTCCTTTGAGTCCACTGCTGCGTCTGCCCTAGTTGCTGAGCTCGTCGACTTTGCTGCTCGCTGGCGTCTAGACTACGCTGCTAGTCTTGTTGCTGAGTCTGAGTCTGTCTGTCCGCCGTCCGTCGGGGGTGAGTGTGCCCTTGGCACGGACGTCCTTGAGGACAGGCAGGAGGAGTTCCAGTGTCTGGCTGCTGCTTCACCTCATCTCGTGTCCGTACTGCTTACCCCTGAGGGAGACCCGGATGCACTTGACATCCCGACTCCGCGCTCTTACGCGGAGGCGATAGAGGGTCCCTACTCCTCTCAGTGGCAGGCAGCTATGGACGCAGAGATGGCTTCCTGGAAGTCCACAGGCACCTACGTTGACGAGGTTCCCCCACCTGGGGCGAACATCGTCAGTGGCATGTGGATTTTCAGGGTGAAGCGGCCGCTGGGTTCTCCGCCTGTCTTCAAGGCGCGTTACGTGGCTCGTGCTTTAGTCAGCGGCAGGGAGTTGACTACTTTCAGACCTTTTCTCCCACCCCGAAGATGACCACTCTTCGGGTACTGCTGCACATTCAGCACTGCTTTCTTGCAGGGCAGCCTGCACGAGGAGATCTGGCTGCGTCGCCCACCTGGCTTCACTGGGTCATTTCCTCCTGGCACCCTGTGGAGCCTCCGGCGGCCAGTCTACGGTCTCCGCCAGGCACCGCGTGAGTGGCACGACACACTGAGGACTACACTTGCGGCTCTTGGGTTTGCTCCCTCTACTGCCGACCCGTCGCTGTTTCTGCGCACCGACACTTCTTTGCCGCCGTTCTACATCCTCGTGTACGTCGACGACTTGGTCTTCGCCACAGCTGACACTGCTGGACTCGCCCACGTGAAGTCCGAGCTGCAGAAGAGACACACGTGCACAGACCTGGGTGAACTGCGCAGCTACCTTGGCTTGCAGATCACCCGGGACAGAGCACGCCGCACCATTACCCTGACTCAGTCACACATGGTGCAGCAGGTCCTTCAGCGCTTCGGCTTCACGTACTCCTCGCCTCAGGCCACTCCTCTGCCTACTCGCCACTCGCTCTCAGCTCTGCCTTCGGATGAGTCCGTAGAGTCGAGTGGCCCGTACCCAGAGCTTGTTGGCTGCCTCATGTACCTGATGACCTGCACACGACCTGACCTTGCATACCCTCTTAGCATTCTTGCACGCTATGTTGCTCCTGGGAGACACAGACCGGAGCACATGGCTGCAGCGAAGAGGGTGTTGCGCTACTTGTGCAGTACGTCGGGCATGGGGCTTGTGCTTGGAGGGCAGAGTCCAGTGGTCCTCACTGGGCACGCAGACGCTTCTTGGGCTGACGACCAGGCTACGCAGCGGTCGTCACAGGGTTACACCTTCAGCCTTGGTTCCGGCTCTGTTTCGTGGCGGGCTACCCGCTCGTCTTCTGTTCTCGGCTCCAGTTGTGAGGCTGAGATCTACGCCGGGGCCATGGCTGCACAGGAGCTTCGCTGGCTCACCTACCTGCTCACTGACCTCGGAGAGCCGCCTCGTTCTCCTCCAGTGCTGTACGTAGACAACAAGGCCATGCTGGCCTTGTGTCGAGAGCAGAGACTGGAGCACAGAACGAAGCACATTGCTCTCCGCTACTTCCTTGCTCGTGAGCTACAGCAGCGTGGTCAGCTACGGCTTGCGTACGTGGCCTCTGAGGCCAACACTGCTGATATCTTCACCAAGGCACTTCCGCCTTGTGATCATCAGCGCTTCTGTACTCAGCTGGGTCTTGTGCCTACCTTGCCTCACTTGCTCACCCCTTGACCTTGCTTGTACTGTTGCATATATATATACACCTGCTCTTGCTTGTCTAGCCTTATATATATATGCAATCCTGTATGTGAACTGGCCTTGTGGCCTTGAACTTGTGCTCGGAATGTGTGGTGACTTTGTGATCCACCCTGAGCTTGTTTTGCTTTGCTTGACTGGTCTTGTGACCCCTTGTTCTCCCCCACTTTGCCTATGGGGGTGTGTCAGATTTATTTGACATAGCTACTGTAGGCTATAGTGGGGTAGCACATATGGGGTACATTTTTCTAGGGTTTGCTTTTGTACCCAACTTTCCTTTAGTCATTCCATTCCTCGTTTCTTCTCATCTCTTGACTCCCCATTTTCAGGTTGTCCAATTGTTTTTTGAGAGACGCTTTTGCCACCGAATCCTTCGCCTGGTACGTCTCCATTAGGTATTCCCATGCCTCAAACGCCGGGCTGTAGGATTCTTGAAACACGTCCAGTTGCAGCTGAATCGTTGCGCTCACGCTATGTAGTAGCACCCAAAACGCCAGCGTCTCACGTTGTGAGTAGTCCGCTTGCAGATTTTCCAACCGCTCCATTGCGTCTCTCATGTTGCCGTCGGCCATTGTAACCGGGTATTGAAGCGTCACAAAGAATTCCCATATGTTTGTCACGCGCGCGTTCATGCGAAACCGAAGCGCCCACTCGCGAAAGTTGGTGCCGTCAAATGGGGTAGTAGTGAACGCCTTGTCCACCGTTGCCCCCACCATCTTGCGTGACAGTCTGTCCTTGTCTTCCTCCGTATACTCGCGTGGAGACGGGTCGAAGAGAGTAGGTATGGTAGATGGGCGTGGCAGTTGAACCGAGCGTTGCATTCCACCGTCTTGACCGTACGTGCGTTGCTCCACCACTTCCATGCGATCACGTCGCATAACACCACTTGACTGCATCCCGTGTCCCGTGCGCCCCATGCTTCCTGCAGGTGCAGCTCCCATTTGACCACGTGGCGCACGAGGAGGTACGATGTTTTCTCCAAAAAGGTGAGATCTGCTCATGACGGGACCTCCAACGGGGTGAGTGTTAGTGGCAAGACGTCGTAGTGGGGGAGCACCAATAGTATAGGACTCAAATCCCACACCTTCCACGCCCACTTGACTGACTCTTCCACTCCCTTCACCAATCTGCCTCCTCATGCTCCTTTCCATGCCAAATTCATCACCACGTTCCCTTGCACCCACTCCACTCCCGTACTCATCATCCTTGCTTCCCTTTGTACGGTTGATGGAGGTGCGGCGTGAGAACTCCCCTCTCCTTGGAAAGATGCGTCCCTCCCTTGGGACGACTCTCCTCCTCGGGGTACGTCTCCCTCCCCTTCACCTCCAACCTCAGCATGCGCATTTGAACCGGGGGTTTGCTCGGTACGTGGAGTGCTTGCATGTGACTGTCCACGGGTGGATGGGTCTTGTGCTTGACTTGGCATGTTGAACTTGACTCTTAATGACGCTTGAAGTGTTGGTGGTGCCCTTGCGATCATGTTCTCCAGGTGCTCATGTTGAGCCATAATGGCTTATTCAATCGCCGCGTATCCTCCATCAACTTCCTCATCAAAACGAGCCATGCCGTTGGTTCAGAAAGTTGCTCGTTCCTATGCTAACTTGCTGGTATCCTTGTCAAACGTTGTTGATAATAAGTTCCTGACCAAATTTCGGCAGCATGCCCCCTAGAGTAGCTCTGATACCATGCTAGAAAGGCATAGTGTTGGCGTTGCGGGAGCTTGATTGTAGAAGTAGCAAGAGAAACTTGCAACTGAAAGGATTCAGAACAATGGAATGGATTGATTAAGAAATGACAGAGCAGAGTATTTATCCAAGCAGCTAACCCCCTCAGGATGGTTTCATCCACACCAATAATGCCACACCAATAATTCTACCCACCAATAATTCTTACCCTCCAATAATTCTAGACTCCAATAATTCTGGCCCTCCAATAATTGTACAATTATTGGAGGGTTGGGAGTCTTATAAAGGAACACTACAGTAAAAAACTAACAGCATTTGTATTATCTTATGTTTGTATATTTAACAGAGAGAACCCTTGCGCAACTCCGCCAACACTGACCCTGTGGTTCGCGTCAAACTCCAAACACCAAACCCGGTAACCATACAACCCAAGTGATAAACCTTTGGGTCTACCCCCCCCTAAAGTGCACCCTTGCTTTAACAAACAACCTAGCTACATGCCAATGTTGAGGAAGAGGAACGAACTGATCAATCCTGCGCAGGGTCAAAATTTTCCATGGTTAGTCGCATGATTTGAGTGCGGTGGAGGATCGATTCTGTACGATCGATCGCAAGATCGAGGGGGAGGTGACGCGTCCATAGCGTTGAACATCCGAAGGCTAGGGTTGGGAGGAATTCCCGGCCTAACAAGCCAAGGGCTGAGCAGAATTGTGCTTGAAGCCGAGCTGCAACAAAATCGGGATGATTTCATTCATTGGTTTGATTGAACAAACCATTTGGCCTTGGAGAAAAGGTGATACACAAAATCGCTCCCAGGTGGGCTTGAAACACCGACCTTATGGTTAACAGCTATACGCTCCAACCAACTGAGCTACGAGAGCTGTTTTGCAGAACTGTTTTAAAATATGATGCAGTTTTAGAATACCTGACCAGCTCAAGTGTTTGATTATTGGCTTGATGGGAAAGACGGATAATGCAGGAATACCCTGATCCCGACGCGTTACCTCTCGTAGAAATGGACGACGGCGAATGGGGTGGGAGGAGTCGCTGTTAGTGCAGGGTTAAACCGATACATATATATATATATATATATATATATTTGACGCGTTACCTCTGGCAACAATGGACGACGGCGAATGGAGCGAGGTGCCGTCTCGCCAGGCGGCGCGCGGACGAGGCGCGCGCCAGCCGCAGCGCCAGCAGCCGCCTCAGTTGATTCGACCGCAACTCGCGTCGTCCTCCGGAATTCTCGGGCCCAATCCCGCGTTTAGCGGGCCTGCGGCAGCGCAAGGCCGCGGAAGTGGAGGCGGAGATCGTGGGAGGGGAAGCGGCGGGCGTGGCGCGAATAGAGGGGGAGGTAGGGGCGGGGGCGCTAGCGACGGCGGCGGAACTGCAGGCGGACGCGGACGGGGAGCGGGCGGAGGCGGGGGAACTGGCGGAGGAGCCAGCGGGGGCAATGGCGCAAGCTCCAATTGGTCTGGCGGAATCGGGGGAGGCGGAAGGGGAGGGGGAGATGCGCGCACAGGCGGAAGCGGACCAGTCAGGGGCGGCGGTGGCGGAGGCGGGGGAGCAGGGGGGTGGGGACCGAACCGCAGCATGGGTACTAATAGTAGCATGGGGGGTAATAGTAGTGCCGCAAGCAACAGCGCTAGCAGCACCGCCACCGCTTCCGCTTCGTCTTCCGCCGCGCCTACCCCTGGCGGATTCCCCGCATCCGCCGTGTTCCCCCAGCCTTCCGCGTTCCCGTCCGCGTTCCCCTCCGCCATGCGCCCGCTCCCCTTCATCACGGACCCCGCGCGCCTGGCGCAGCAGTTCCCCGCGCTGCTCTCCGACAGCAGCAGCGACGAGGAGGGCGAGGGGGACGAGGGGGACGCGGAGGGGGAGGGGGAAGGCGCGGAAGGGGGAGGGCGATCCAAGGGGAAGGCTAGCGTGGAACGGCTAGAAGAGGCGATTTTCGGGGCTTATCTAGCAGGGAGGGGGGGGAGGGGGAGGGGGAGGAGGGAGGAAGTCGGGGAGTGGCATTTCCGAACCTGTTTCTGCCGATCCTACTTTCACAGCAGGTCTGGAGAAGATCCGGGACTACCTGAACGCCGTCCAATCGGGTGGCGCCAGCTGTCTGGTGTGCCTGGAGAGGATCAGATCCTCAGATCCGATCTGGTCGTGCCGGGGCGGATGTTACTGTTCACTCCATCTTGTCTGTATTCAGTCGTGGGCTAGACAGGGAATCCAAGCCTCCTCTCTCTCCTCCTCCTCCTCTTCCTCTTCCTCCTCTAAAGGCCAACCAGCAGCTGCCACGTGGCACTGCCCCAAGTGCCGAACCGAGTATCCTGAGCGTGATCTGCCTCGGGAATACCAATGCTACTGCGGGCGGGTGAAAGACCCTCCCTTTGATCCCTGGCTTGCCCCCCATTCCTGCGGGGAACCCTGTGAGAGAGAGCTGAGGGGCGGGGGAGGCGGAGGGGGAGGCGGAGGGGGAGGGGGAAGGGATGGGGGAAAAATGGGAGGGTTGGGAGGAGAGGGAGGGGAGGTGGAGAGGGAAGCTGACGTGGCATGTGGTCATAGGTGCACGTTGCTGTGTCACCCCGGTCCCTGTCCTCCGTGTCCCCAGCTCATTCGCTCCCGCTGCCACTGTGGCAAGAAGGAGGACGTTTGCCGCTGCGGGCAGCATGAATTTTCCTGCGCTGCCCGCTGCGGCAGCCGCCTCGCCTGCGGCATCCACTCCTGCGATGCCACGTGTCATCCGGGCAGCTGCCCTCCCTGCGACAGGGAGGGAACATTCTCTTGCCGGTGCGGGCAGGTGAAAAAAACCCTTCCCTGCGCGGAAAGAAATTTCAGCTGTGGGAAGATCTGCGGGAAAAAGTTTCCGTGCGGGCGGCACAAGTGCGAGGTGGAATGCCATGCGGGGGACTGCGGCGACTGCCCTCTTTCGGGCAGGCGAAGCTGCCCCTGTGGGAAAAAATCGTACGAAGGGTTACCCTGCGACAAGCCGGCCCTGCCCTGTGGGGCAACGTGCGAAAAACCTTTGGCTTGCGGGCGACACGTGTGTGCGGAGCGGTGTCACGTGGGGGAGTGCTCGAAAAGCTGCTTGATTGTGGTGGTGAAGGGGTGCCGATGCGGCGGAGTGACTAAAGAGGTGAGTGAGACTCCTGTGAAGGACTGTTGGTTGCATTGGTGCATGGCACGTGTGTGCGGAGCGGTGCCATGTGGGGGAGTGCTCCAAGACGTGTCTGATTGTAGTGGTGAAGGGGTGCCGGTGCGGCGGAGTGACTAAAGAGGCGAGATCCCTGAAAGGAAGGGCAAGAAGTTATCTGAGCTGACCCAAAACACACCATGTGTGGGTGGTGCCTGGCTGTGTGCGGTGCGGAGAGGTGTCACGTGGGGGAATGTTCTAAAAGGTGCCTGATTGTGGTGATGAAGGGGTGCCGGTGTGGTGGAGTGAGTAAAGAGGTAAGTTAGCGGCTTATAATGAAGAGGTGCTTATCTTGATTTGTACGGGTGCATGGCGTTGCATGGGTGCATGCATGGCATGGCACGTGTTTCCGGAGGAAAGATGGCATGGCATGTCTGCATGGCATGTCTGCATGGCATGTCTGCATGGCATGTCTGCATGGAATGTCTGCATGGCATGTCTGCATGGCATGTCTGCATGGCATGTCTGCATGGCATGTCTGCATGGCATGTCTGCATGGCATGTCTGCATGGCATGTCTGCATGGCATGTCTGCATGGCATGTCTGCATGGCATGTCTGCATGGCATGTCTGCATGGCATGTCTGCATGGCATGTCTGCATGGCATGTCTGCATGGCATGTCTGCATGGCATGTCTGCATGGCATGTCTGCATGGCATGTCTGCATGGCATGTCTGCATGGCATGTCTGCATGGCATGTCTGCATGGCATGTCTGCATGGCATGTCTGCATGGCATGTCTGCATGGCATGTCTGCATGGCATGTCTGCATGGCATGTCTGCATGGCATGTCTGCATGGCATGTCTGCATGGCATGTCTGCATGGCATGTCTGCATGGCCATGTCTGCATGGCATGTCTGCATGGCATGTCTGCATGGCATGTCTGCATGGCATGTCTGCATGGCATGTCTGCATGGCATGTCTGCATGGCATGTCTGCATGGCATGTCTGCATGGCATGGCATGTCTGCATGGCATGTCCTGCATGGCATGTCTGCATGGCATGTCTGCATGGCATGTCTGCATGGCATGTCTGCATGGCATGTCTAGCATGGCATGTCTGCATGGCATGTCCTGCATGGCATGTCTGCATGCATGTCTGCATGGCATGTCTGCATGGCATGTCTGCATGGCATGTCTGCATGGCATGTCTGCATGGCATGTCTGCATGGCATGTCTGCATGGCATGTCTGCATGGCATGTCTGCATGGCATGTCTGCATGGCATGTCTGCATGGCATGTCTGCATGGCATGTCTGCATGGCATGTCTGCATGGCATGTCTGCATGGCATGTAGCATGGCATGTCCGTGCATGGCAGGTCTGCATGGCATGTCTGCATGGCATGTCTGCATGGCATTCTCTGGCATGTCTGAATGGCATGTCTGCATGGCAATGTCTTGCAGGGCATGTCTGCATGGCATGTCTGCATGCATGTCTGCATGGCATGTCTACATGGCATGTCTGCATGGCATGTCTGCATGGCATGTCTGCATGGCATGTCTGCATGGCATGTCTGCATGGCATGTCTGCATGGCATGTCTGCATGGCATGTCTGCATGGCATGTCTGCATGGCATGTCTGCATGGCATGTCTGCATGGCATGTCTGCATGGCATGTCTGCATGGCATGTCTGCATGGCATGTCTGCATGGCATGTCTGCATGGCATGTCTGCATGGCATGTCTGCATGGCATGTCTGCATGGCATGTCTGCATGGCATGTCTGCATGGCATGTCTGCATGGCATTACCCCCAATCCCCTAGGATTGCCCCCGATTCTCTCCCCATCCTTACCTTGCCCATTTCTGATGTACTTAAAGAGCCTTGAGCTCATTACTAATGTATGGATTCTAAGCTCAAGTTCTCACAATGTCATGTCATGTCATGTCATGTCATGTGGGGGAGTGCTCTAATCTAAGGCGTGTCTCATTGTGGTGGTGAAGGGGTGCTACAGACGTGTGGCACATGTAACAAAGAGGTGTTTCGACGAATTGACTCTACGATCGCCAATATCACCAGCGCAGCCCCTGTAGTCAGTGATCGCCGCTGCCAGCCTTGCAGGCTGTGCGTGTCAGTTCACTCAACGCCACTGGTCCTTTCCCTCTCACAACACCCACTCAACGCCTCCCTCCCTGCCTCCCACCCAACCTTCCGCTCTCTCCCGTCCCTCATCCCGCAACAAGAGTGTATTTGTGCCATCGCCTCGCCGCTGCCAGTGGGGCATGCAATGCAGGTCAGTTCAGTTAACATCCCTTCCCACCCATCACAACCCCTCTCTTCATCCTTCCTCAATCTCTCCCCCAAACAGCTGCCCTGCCATCAGGAGTATCTCTGCGATCGCCGCTGCCAGCGTGGCAGGCCGTGCGGGCGACACCTGTGCAAGCGGCGCTGCTGTGCTGGCGACTGCCCTCCCTGCCCCGAGGTGAGGGTTGCTGTGTCAGGGTTTAGGGGTCAAGAATCCTCTCCCTGTCCTGTGTCAAGTCAAGGTAGGTTGTCGTCAGGTCATGTTGTGAGCTGTGCTCCCTCTTACAAGTGTGCCCCCCTGTTAGCGCCAACTGTGCAACGGCGTTGCTTCGCTGGCGACTGCCCCCCTTGCCCCGAGGTGAGGGTTCTTCTATCTGTCCAGGGTTTAGGGGTCAAGGATCCTCACCCTGTCCTGTGTCAAGGTAGATTGTCGTCAGGTCATGTATTGAGGTATGCTCACTTTCACAATCGTACCCATGCTTGCGCAATCTGCCTGCCCGGTGCTCACCACAAGGCAGCACCCTACCCTGCATCTGCATGCCGTGCCGCTTGTTCTTTTTTTAGTCAACTCAGAACTTGCCGTTTGCCATCGTAACAAGGTCAGCCATGAGACTAGGCGTGTAAGTAGACGACTTTTGAGACGTCTCAAAACTCAGAACTTTCTGTGTGCCATCGTAACAAGGTGATCTTTGAGTCAGCTCCTACACGAGGCAGCAGGCAGCCCGGCTGCATGCATGCCACTTGTTCTTCAACGTTCTTCTCATTGCCACAAATCCTTTGTCCACAAAGGAAGCACGTGCTTCTCATTTACTCTTGTCCCCTTCTGTCCACAAATCCTTCTTACTTTGTTGCTTCCTTACGCTAAGGTTTTCTTCTTCTTCTTGATGCTTGCACGGCACGTGCAGGTGTGCGGTCGCAAGTTACGGTGTGGTAACCACAAGTGTCCCGCTCCTTGCCACAGGTCAGCTAAACCCCCAACTGCCATTCACATTGCCCTTTAGCTGTTTGCTTTTTTGCTTCAAGCCTAGCTCGCAACTGCAGCTTTCTGAGAACTATGTCTGAACTGAAGTGTGGTAACCACAAGTGTCCCGCTCCTTGCCACTGGTGAGCTGAGTCCCCAGATTCCATTCACAGTGCCACTCCCCTGTCCCCTTACTTAACTCGCCCTTTTCACAGTGCCTTTCCCCGATTCTAATCTCTGCATGCATCTCTTTGTGTTCCCCTTGCATTGCATACATTTGCTTCTGTGCCAGCAACATGTTCTTGAGGCGCCTTCCTTCTTTCTTTCTGTCCAGCTCTGCACCTGCTCTCTCCCCTGCCCTCTCTCCTCCCCTTCCCTCCTGCAGCGGCCCCTGTGCCCCCTGCCATAGCACTTTCCTTATCGCATGCTTCTTTGCTCGTTGCTTGCTCCTGCTCTCTTGCCCCCGTCTCCCCCATCCCCCTTCCCTTCCCTCCCAGCGGTCCCTGTGCGCCCTGCCCTGTCACTGTCCGCATCGCATGCTTTTGTGGCACCACCGCATTTTCTGTGAGTCATGCTCTTTCACTTTGAGAGCTTCTGTTACAAACTTATACTTGGATAAAAATTCCCGAATGCTCTTTCTGTTGAGAATCTGAATTTGTTGGCATTACTAACTTCAACCTCTCTCTCTCTCTCTCTTCGTCTCACCTTCGCCATTTGTTGTTTGTGGTTTGAATGTGCTATTTTCCCTGCTCTTGCTCTTTCCCTCCCTTCCTCTTCCTCTCACCTTCCTCTTTGTTTTCCCTTTGCTTTCTCTCCCGTTCCCCCCTGCAATCCAGGTGCCCTGTGGAGCAGAGAAGCAGCAGCGCCCTCCCAGATGCCACATGCGCTGCTCCATACTCCCGGACCCTGGTTCCCCTCTCTCCTCATATGCTCGCTCGCTCCCTTCCCTTCTCCCCTCCATGCCTCTCAGGTGCCCTGTGGAGCAGAGAAGCAGCAGCGCCCTCCCAGATGCCACATGCGCTGCCCTGTGCCGCCCACATGTCACCATGGGGCCAACTGCAGGGTGAGTGAGTCGTGTTCCCGTGCCACTTCATTGCTCATGCGTTGCCCTGTGTCGCCCACGTGCCACCACCGGGCCGCTTGTAGGGTGAGTCATGTTACCATGGGGTGAGTCATGTTACCATGGGGTGAGTCATGTTACCATGGGGTGAGTCATGCTACCATGGGGTGAGTCATGCTTCCATGGGGTGAGTCATGCTTCCATGGGGTGAGTCATGCTTCCATGGGGTGAGTCATGCTTCCATGGGGTGAGTCATGCTTCCATGGGGTGAGTCATGCTTCCATGGGGTGAGTCATGCTTCCATGGGGTGAGTCATGTTACCATGGGGTGAGTCATGCTTCCATGGGGTGAGTCATGTTACCATGCCATGTGCCTCGTGCACACCTCGTGCCACATGCGCTGCCCTGTCCCGCTCACATGCCACCATGCGGCCCACATGCATCCCCTTCCCTTCACCACAATCACAGCCGCATCGCTGTCACTATGGTTCGTGTCATGGCCCGCTTGCAGCCTCCCCTATGGCCACCCCTTCACCTGCACGCCTGGCCTCAACCACAGCCTACAACTGCAACGGCCCTCACACTCCTCCACACTCAGCCCTCACCTCCCCCAACGGCTCCAAATCACCCCTCCTCTAAGTCATGTTCAGACATTTATCAGAGAGCTGCAGTCGTGTAGTATGCTTAAGCAAAAGAACAAACAGCGGTAAAATCCGCTCTATGTAAAACTAAGTGCTCAAAGCAATCTCAGAACCCAAATTATTAGCGGTAGAGTAAAACAGGGGCGAACCTGTTTCGGCTGAAAAGGGGAGACCCCTCTGCCGGCCCCCAATCACCCCGCCTCTAAATCTTTCCCCCCATCTCCTCCCTCCCTGCCCCCCCCGTCTCTCCCCTTCACTGCAATCACAGCCGCATCGCTGTCACTACAGGGCCTGCTCTCCTTGCAGCCTCGCCTGTGGCCAGCCCTACCACTGCACGCCATGCTATAATCACTCGCATCGCGTTTCCTCCTTGCCTCTCCCCCCTTTATAATCACAGCCGCATCGCTGTCACTACGGGGCGTGTCCCCCTTGCAGCCTCCCCTGCGGGGAGCCCTTTGACTGCGGCCACTCCTGCCCGCTCAGGTGTGTTTCACGGCCCCTCAGGTGTTTCCTCAAAAGTAGGTGCCCCTCAGGTGGTTTATCCCTACTCAATGCTCCTTAGGTGTCTTCTCAGGTGCCCCCCCAGGTGCTCCCTAGGGTGGTTCCTCAGGTGATTTGTCAGGAATGATTTGATGATTATCAAACACTATTTTGGAGAAATCTCAGAAGTGACTCAGAGACAACACTGTTAGTCTCTCCCCTCTTTCCCACCATGCCCCCCGCCCGCCCCCCAACCCGCCCTTCTCCCGTGAACCGCCCAAGAAGTAGAAGAAAGGGAAGAAGGAGGGCGAGGAGGAGGAGGAGGATGATTCAATGCTCATACCGTTACCACTGAATTTCTCTCCCCTTTCTTCCCTTCCATTCCTTCCCTCCCCCCCACCAGATGCCATAACCCCCGTCCGCCTCCCAACCCGCCCTTCTCCCTTGAGCCGCCCAAGAAGAAGAAGAAAGGGAAGAAGGAGGGCGAGGAGGAGGAGAAGGATGATTCAATGCTCATACCGTTACCACTGAATTTCTCTCCCCTTTCTTCCCTTCCATTCCTTCCCTCCCCCCCACCAGATGCCATAACCCCCGTCCGCCTCCCAACCCGCCCTTCTCCCTTGAGCCGCCCAAGAAGAAGAAGAAAGGGAAGAAGGAGGGCGAGGAGGAGGAGAAGGATGATTCAATGCTCATACCGTTACCACTGAATTTCTCTCCCCTTTCTTCCCTTCCATTCCTTCCCTCCCCCCCACCAGATGCCATAACCCCCGTCCGCCTCCCAACCCGCCCTTCTCCCTTGAGCCGCCCAAGAAGAAGAAGAAAGGGAAGAAGGAGGGCGAGGAGGAGGAGGAGGATGATTCAATGCTCATACCGTTACCACTGAATTTCTCTCCCCTTTCTTCCCTTCCATTCCTTCCCTCCCCCCCACCAGATGCCATAACCCCCGTCCGCCTCCCAACCCGCCCTTCTCCCTTGAGCCGCCCAAGAAGAAGAAGAAAGGGAAGAAGGAGGGCGAGGAGGAGGAGGAGGATGATTCAATGCTCATACCGTTACCAATGAATTTCTCTCCCCTTTCTTCCCTTCCATTCCTTCCCTCCCCCCCACCAGATGCCATAACCCCCGTCCGCCTCCCAACCCGCCCTTCTCCCTTGAGCCGCCCAAGAAGAAGAAGAAAGGGAAGAAGGAGGGCGAGGAGGAGGAGAAGGATGATTCAATGCTCATACCGTTACCACTGAATTTCTCTCCCCTTTCTTCCCTTCCATTCCTTCCCTCCCCCCCACCAGATGCCATAACCCCCGTCCGCCTCCCAACCCGCCCTTCTCCCTTGAGCCGCCCAAGAAGAAGAAGAATGGGAAGAAGGAGGGCGAGGAGGAGGAGGAGGAGGATAATATAATGCCCATATTCTTACCACTGATCTTCACTCCCCTTCCTACCACCAGGTGCCACGGCCCCCGCCCGCCTCCCAACCTGCCATTCTCCCTTGAACCACCCAAGAAGAAGAAGAAAGGGAAGAAGGAGGGCGAGGAGGAGGAGGGGCAGGGGAAGCCAGGATCGCCGTGCCCCTCATGTGTGGTGCCGGTGGTGCGAGAATGCAGAGGAAGACACCAGGGGCAGGAGTGCGAGGTAGGTGCTTCTAAAGCTGTGTGGTAAGGGTGTGGTTTTGAGGGAAAGTGGGGAAGCAGGAGTCGCCGTGCCCGCCATGCCATGTGTGATGCAGGAAGCCAGGAGTCGCCGTGCCTCCCGTGTGTGGTGCCAGTGGTGCGGGAGTGCAGAGTAAGTCACCAGGGGCAAGAATGAGAGGTATGTGCGTGCCTCTAGTATAGTCAGGAAACAGGGGAATTAGGGGTAGCAGGGGAAGGAAGCCAGGATCTCTGTGCCTCCCGTGTGTGGTGCCGATAGTGCGAGAATGCAGAGGGAGACACCATGGGCAGGAGTGCGAACGACCAGTCATCAGTGACTACATGCAATAGTTTTTCTGGTACTCCCTTTGGCCCTTTTGAGAATATTTCAAAAGTGACTACATGCAATAGCGTTTCTAATACTCCCGTTGGCACTTTCTCCTCCCTCCCCCTCCCCTCTCCCCTCCACCCTCCACACCCAGCTCCCTTGCTCTCACGACTCTGCCTTCTCGTGCGAGCTACCGTGTGGTAATGCCTATCTTTGTGGTAACCACACATACCATAACATCTCTCTCTCCTCCTTCCCCCCCCCCCCCCCCCCCCCCCCCCCCCAACCCACCCCTCTCCCAGCTCCCCTGCTCTCATGACCCTGCCTTCTCATGCGAGCTACCCTGCGGTAACCCCCTTGCATGCGGTAACCACGCATGCCAGCTGGCGTGCCACGTCATCACCCGCCCGCGAACCGTAGATGGACAGAGAGTGCTGGTGGCCAAGGGGGGAGAGGAGGGAGGAGAGGAGGAGGAGGAGGAGGGGGGAGTGAGGGAGGTGGAGGAGGGAGGAGAGGAAGGAAAGAGCTTGCCTCGTGACACGTGCTACCCTTGCAAGCGAGCATGTCAAAAGGTTGGTCCCTCATACCTCTCCTCCCTTCTACACCTTCCTCCACCACTTCTTCTACCTCACTACACTTGCTACTCTTGCAAGCCACCATGCCAAAAGGTTAGTTCTCTTTGCTGCAAGCTTCGTGAGCGAGGGGAGGAAGGAAGGAGTTTTTCTCATGGCACATGCTACCCTTGCAAGCGACCATGCCAGAAGGTTGGTCCCTCGAACTTTCAAGTCTACTTACGTAGGTATTCAGCTCCATAGGGAAGCATACTCAGCCTACACCATGCCAGAAGAAGAGGATTTGTTGGAAGTCAACCAAGAGCCGAAGCTAGGGGAGGTCATGGGGCTGTTGTTTGAGACAATCCACACACTGCTTGCTGCAGCTGCCACGCGTTGAGCCCCTCCTTTGACAAGCAGTGTGTGGATTGTCTCAAACAACAGCCCCAGGATTTCCCCATAGCTTCGGCTCTGGGTTGACTTCCACCCAATCCTCCTCTTCCTGCTTCTATACAGGCTGAATATGCTTCACTATGGCGCTTCACTATGGCGCTTCACTATGGCGCTTCACTATGGCGCTTCACTATGGCGCTTCACTATGGCGCTTCTCAAGATTGGTTTTTATTCTATTCCGTTGCAAGAATTCACTCCAGAAGGAGACATACGTATTCAAGACTCAAAGATGTAGGATGTTGCGATGTCAACTGTACAGACGTAGGATGTCGCGATGTCAACTGTACAGACGTAGGATGTCGCGTTCGAGGGAACGCACAATGTGTCAACGTTTCAAGGTTCTTGTGAAATTCACACACTAGCAGTCCTGTTATATCCCATCTTCTTTCATCCACAATCCCATGTTTTTTTTTTCTGGGCAGCCCAGGGACCCTCCATGCGCGCATCCCTGCCCGGAGCCGTGCCATCCGGGCAGCTGCCCGCCGTGCAAAAACCTTCTGAGAAAGCGGTGCTACTGCGGCATCATGACCCATGCGATCGAGTGCGGCCAATGGGGTGCCGCCACGGAGGCAGAGAGAATCAGAATGGTGTCTTGCACGGGGCCCTGCCACAAGTGAGTGCAATGTTCTCTTGTAAGTCTTTCAGTTGAGGGGCCAACCTTGGGACAATCAACCACAGAGGCAGAGAGAATCAGAATGGTGTCTTGCACAGGGCCCTGCCACAAGTTGCGGGTTGAGGATTGTGATGTGACAAGCAATGAGAGAGGCAGAGAGGGAGAGACAAAAGATGGCATTTCGCACCGGGCCCTGCCAGCCACAAGTGAGTGCTCTCTGAGTCACTTGTTCTTTGTAGTTACGTGTTATTCAGTGGTGGTGGTTTTTCCTTGTTGGGGAAAGTAAGCTGCTTCTACTGGGAGTGGCGTGCCAGTGGCACCATGGCAACTTATGCTATATTTCGGTGACTTTTGAGTGAGTGTTCTCTGAGACACTTGCTCCTTGTAGTTACGTGATATTCAGTGGTGGTGGTTTTTCCTTGTTGGGGCAAGTAAGCTGCTTCTACTTGGAGTGGCGTGCCAGTGGCACCATGGCAACTTCTGCTATATTTCCCTTTTCCAGTGCTGCGATTTGCTTATGTATGGTGACCGTTCAGCCGAATCACAATAGATACTCCCATTCATTGTAGTTTCATTGTTGTTTCTCCCACGCGTCAGTGACCTTGCCATTGTCGTTCTTCTTGCAATCTCCTTGCACTGCACCTTCCAGGAAGCTGCCGTTCTGTTCGCACATGTGTGTGGAAATGTGTCATCCCGGCCCCTGCTCCAAGCCAACTCAGTGCCGCAAGAAGGTGGGTTGTGCGTGTCAGTGCTTGCATTGCATGTATGCATGCTTGTAAGTGTTGGTGCTACTGATTGTGATTTGGGTGAACCTTCCTGGCCCCTGCCCCAAGCCCACACAATGCCGCAAGAAGGTGGGTTGTGAGTGTGTTCATGTGTACATGTGCGCTTGTGTGAATGCTTCTGTTCGCACATGTGTGTGGAAATGTGCCTTCCTGGCCCCTGCCCCAAGCCCACGCAATGCCGCAAGAACGTGGGTTGCCTGTTGTGTTGTGTGCATGTGTGTGTGCTTGTGTGCATGCATGTGTGCATGTGTGCATGTGTGAGTGCTTCTGTTCGCACATGTGTGTGGAGATGTGTCATCCCGGCCCCTGCCCCAAGCCCACACAGTGCCGCAAGAAGGTGGGCTGTGGGTGTGTGTGCATCTGGGCCTTATTGCATGTGTGCTTGTGTGAGTGCTTCTGTTCGCACATGTGTGTGGAGATGTGCCATCCTGGCCCCTGCCCCAAGCCCACACAGTGCCGCAAGAAGGTGGGCTGTGTGTGTCCGTGCTTGCATGTATGCATGCTTGTATGTGTTGGAGCGAGGCGACTGTTTGTGATGCGGGTGAATCATCCTGGCCCCTGCCCCAAGCCAACGCAGTGCCGCAAGAAGGTGGGTTGTGGGTGTTTGCTTGTGTGCATGTGTGCATGTGTGTGCATGTGTGCTTGTGTGCATGTGTGCTTGTGTGCATGTGTGCATGTGTGCATGTGTGCATGTGTGAGTGCTGCTTTGCACATGTGTGTGGAAATGTGTCATCCGGGCCCCTGCCCCAAGCCCACGCAGTGCCGCTAGAAGGTGGGTTGTGCATGTGTGCATAGTTGCACGTGGGAATCTATATGCGTGTGCGCATTCATGCGTGCGTGTCTGCATGGGTGCATGTACGTGCAAGCCGCCACTGCCAAAGCTGCAGCCAGCCAGGTGTTTATGTTCTGCTCTTTGCTTCCTCACCTTGATTCCCTTGCCTGCTTCCCACCCACCTCCCATTCCACAGGTCACAGTTTGCTGTGAATGCCTTCGCCTCAAGAAAGAGTGGCTCTGCTTGCAAGTGCAATCTTTCATGCATCCCTCGTACACCCACCCACACACAATCTACAGGTCACAGTGCGCTGTGCATGCCTTCGCCTCAAGAAAGAGTGGCTGTGCTCCCAAGTGCAATCCGAAACTGCCAAAGCTGCTGCCAATGGTGCAAGCAAACCCACTAGCAGCGCAGACAGCAACAGTGGTGGGAGTGTTGGAGGTGGTGGGGGTGGGAGACTGCGAGAGTCAATGGTGGGGGTGGGGCTGATACCATGTGACGACGAGTGCCGGCGTATTCAGGAGGAGGAGTGGAAGCGGAGGGAAGCGGAGGAGAAGCGAGAGGCAGAGAGGAAGGCAGCAGCAGCAGCAGAGGCTGAGAGGCTTCGACTCGAAGTGGAAGCTGCTGTGAGTGTCGATGGTGTTCGTCTTGTGTTTGTCTTGTGCTTGTCTTGTGCTTGTCTTGTGCTTGTCTTGTGCTTGTCTTGTGCTTGTCTTGTGCTTGTCTTGTGCTTGTCTTGTGCTTGTCTTGTGCTTGTCTTGTGCTTGTCTTGTGCTTGTCTTGTGCTTGTCTTGTGCTTGTCTTGTGCTTGTCTTGTGCTTGTCTTGTGTTGGTCTTGTTTTTTTTTAGTATGAAGGCAGCGGCCCGTGGTGGACCGTGGAGTCAAAGCCTCTCTGGAGGCCCGTGGTGGACCGTGGAGTCACTTTCGAGATTTCTCTAAGGTGCTTTGTTAGAAGTTATGAATGTGCTGCCTTTCTCACTTCACATATGCGACTTTGCATGTGCCACTTCAATCCCCCTCTTGTGTCTTTCAAGAGGTAGTTTGTTTCTACCTCCGATTCCATAATGTTGTTTCCCCTGTGTGCCTGAATCGGTTTTGGGCCTGATGGCTTCGTTGTGGCATCGGTCCTCGGATGACCGATGCTGTATCTATTCTTCTTGGACTCTTTTAAAGGTGTTCCGTCATTTAAATGTGTGGCATCAGTCCTCAGATGCTGTATCTATTCTTCTTGGACTCTTTTAAAGGTGTTCCGTTAATTTGTTGATGCCTCCCAAACGCATGGGCATGTTCTTTCGCTGCTTGCATTGACATGGAATGGCTTTGCATGGTAAAATCACATGACATGACATGACATGACATGGCACGGCATGGCATGAGCAGAGGGGAGCACGGAGGAGGAGAAGAAAGTCAGCAACAGATGAAGATGATGATTCCTCTTCCTCTCTACTTGTACGTGCACAGCCTTAGCATTCGGGTAGAATCAGCCTTAGCATCATTCGGGTATTTTTTGTGGAGTATTTTCACCAAGTACTCTCACTAGGATTTATGCCAAGTATTTCTGACAAGTATTTTGTGGGCCTTTTTGAAGTCAGTGGCTCAGGTTAGAAAAATCCAGCTTTCATCCTTCCTGCCGTGCGTTGCTGGGCTGTCATCATCTCTCCTTTGCCTCCTCCTCCTTCCTCCTGCTGCTGGTGCTCGCTGCTGGGGTGGGGCTCAAGGCGCTTCCATCAGTGTGTTCCCTTCCCCCCACTCACGCATCCCATCCCAACCATCCCCCCCCCCCCCCCTCCTCCCCTCAACCGCCCATCATCAGGGGTTCATCCCTCCTGCTGTGAGTCGCTGGGTGATCATCGTCACTCTCTTCTGCCTCCTCCTCGTGCTCTCTGCTGGGGGGGGGGGGTTCAAGGCACTTCTCTCACACACCCCCTCCCCCCTCTCTCACTCATTCCCAACCCGCGCCCCTCAATCGCCCATCGTCAGTGGTTCATCCCTCCTGCTGTGCGTCGCTGGGTTATCATCGTCACCCTCTTTTGCCTCCTCCTCGTGCTCGCTGCTGGGCGGTGGGGGGGGGGGGGAGGGGGAACTCAAGACACTTCTCTCACACACCCCCTTCCCCTTCTCTCGCTCATTACCAACCCAGCACCCGCGCCCCTCAATCACCCATCATCCGGGTTTCATCCCTCCTGCTGTGCGTCGCTGGGCCGTCAGCATAATTCTCCTCTGCTTCCTCCTCCTCCTGCTGTTTGCTGCTGAATGGGCCTCAGCGCACTTCTCTCACTCACCCCCTTTCCCTCTCTTTCTGCCCCTTTCCCTCACTCATTCCCAACACCCCCACCCCTCAGTCGCCCATCATCAGGCGTTCATCCCTCCTGCTGTGAAGCGCTGGGCTGTTATCATGACTCACCTGTGCTTCCTCCTCCTGCTGCTGCTGCTCGCTATCGGGGTGCACCTCAAGGCACTTCCAGCATTCATTGCTTCTCCTTTCTTTCACTCCCAGTGCGCGGCGGTGGGCCGTCATCGTCACTCTCCTTGGCCTACTCCTGCTGCTGCTGCTCGCTATCGGGGTGCACCTCAAGGCACTTCCAGCATTCATTGCTTCTCCTTTCTTTCACTCCCAGTGCGCGGCGGTGGGCCGTCATCGTCACTCTCCTTGGCCTACTCCTGCTGCTGCTGCTCGCTATCGGGGTGCACCTCAAGGCACTTCCAGCATTCATTGCTTCTCCTTTCTTTCACTCCCAGTGCGCGGCGGTGGGCCGTCATCGTCACTCTCCTTGGCCTACTCCTGCTGCTGCTGCTCGCTATCGGGGTGCACCTCAAGGCACTTCCAGCATTCATTGCTTCTCCTTTCCTTCGCTCATCTCGTTGTGAACCCCTTCATTTTTCCATCATCAGGGGTTCATCTCTCCTGCTGTGCGGCGTTGGGCCGTCATCATCACTCTCCTCTGCCTTCTCCTCGTCCTGCTGATTGCTGCTGGAGTGGGCTTTAAGGCTCAAGGTGTTTGCATCAATCTTTCCCCTCCATTCCTCTCACTCATCCCAACCCAACAACCCCAACCCCCGCTCCATTTGCCCATCATCAGGGGCTCATCCCGCCCGCTGTGTGTCGCTGGGCCGTCATCGTCACTCTCCTCTGCCTCCTCCTCCTGCTGCTCGCTGCTGGGGGAGGGGGGCTCAAGACACTTCTCTCTCACACACCTCCCTTCCCCTTCTCTCGCTCATTCCCAACCCAACCCCCGCTCCATTTGCCCATCATCAGGGGTTCATCCCACCCGCTGTGCGTCGCTGGGCCGTCATCATCACTCTCCTTTGCCTCCTCCTCCTGCTGCTGATGCTGCTGGGATGGGACTCAAGGCTCAAGGCGCTTCCATTCCATCAATCTTCCACCACCTCCCCCCCCTTTCCCCCACCTTCTTCCCCCCTTATATCGCCCATCGTCAGGGCTTCATCCCTCCTGCTGTGCGGCGGTGGGCCGTCATCATCACTCTCCTGTGCCTTCTCCTCGTCCTGCTGATCGCTGCTGGGGTGGGCCTCAAGGCGCTCTCTGATTGGATGAATGAGCGGGACCGCCTCCGCCCTAGAAAGTCGTTTCGTTACTAAACTCCAGCTTGCATGTTACATTCCGCTTACACCGTAGGTCATTAAAACTTTTATGAAGCTCACCTAGGTTAATGAAATTCAGTATGTTCTACCGTAGCTTCCATTTCTACACTCGCATGTGGCACACTCACGGCACCATCGCATATTTTATAAAAAGGATGAACCCTGCTGTTTTGTGGGTTTAGGGTATATGTTGCCTTCATAGTGCAGTCGATGGTTTCAACAACGCCATTTAAAAACATATTTCCACGGGTTACGCTGACCAATGGTGTAGCTGCAGCTGCCGTCTTGGCATTCAAGACTTGTGTACAATGCCTGGCCTTAAAACCCCATAGTTTATTTCTAAGAACACCAAGGAAAACTGTCTTCAAGTTCTGTACCCAACACCCTCACGGTGTGGCTGCTGCTGCTTGAGCATTCAACGCTGTGCCCCCTGCCCGCCCTTCAAAGCCCGGCCGCATCAGCTTCTTCTCCCTCTGCATTGAAAAGCAAATACAAAAACAAGTGCATTTCAACCACCATAGAGAACATAAGCATATGTTGCGAATGCATGCAACAGGAACATGACATGCCAAGTCCCAGGGATCTTCGCTCATAGTGGAAGAGCAGCAATTCTGACGATTGGAAGAGCCCGAATGCATGCACCAGGAGCATGACATTCGTGTGACTTTTGAGAATTCTCAAAAGTCACACGAATATAGCCGCAGAGAACCCTGCCACACAATGCTGGGCTTTGCCGCATCCTGCTGTGCTTACTGCTACCGCACCAACCGATATGTGTCAATCCACTGCCTACCCATCGATCCAGTATACTTCCCTCCTTTCCACCTTCCCGTGCGATCTTAGCAGCAATTCAAATCCCAATGCCATGCTGAATGTATGCTACCTTACTCACACCACTCTGACCCACGAAACTCCCCTCCAATCCCCACCACCTACCCGAGCGATCTTAGCAGCAATCTTATTGTCCTTCCGCTCCTGAATGTTCCCCTTGCGCTTGTCCTGTCTATCCTTCATTGCTTTACGCACTGTCATCTGCCTCTCCTTCCTGTTCACGGAGAATAATTTGTACACGCAGGGAAAAGGCAGCACAGTCGGGTTGCGGTGAGGTGCCTTCCATTATGTTTCCCCCTCAATTGTTCTGCACTTCCTTCATCGCTTTACGTACTTGACTTTTGAGTCGACTCAAAAGTCAACCCGTTATGTTTCCCCCTCAATTGTTCTGCACTTCCTTCCTCGCTTTACGTACTGCCATCTGCCTCTCTTTCCTGTTAACACAGAAATATGTAAACGCAGGGAAAAGACGGCATTTTTGGGCTGCAATTAGTGCAGCACAAGCCATGCAGTGACGTCCCTTCCATGCTCCCGCGGCGGTTTTCCTGCCAGTCCTTCATCACCTTGCGCACTGCCATCTGCCATGTGCCATGCCATGTGCCATGTGCCATGTGCCATGTACCATGCCATTTGCCATGTGCCATCTGCCATGTGCCATGTGCCATCTGCCATGTGCCATCTGCCATGTGCCATGTGCCATTTGCCATGTGCCATCTGCCATGTGCCATGTGCCATCTGCCATGTGCCATCTGCCATGTGCCATCTGCCATGTGCCATGTGCCATCTGCCATGTGCCATCTGCCACACCCCGCACCACCCCTCACATCACACCACCCCATGACAACGCACCCCAACACACACCACCGCACTCCACCGCTCACCATAGCTTAGCGCTCTTCTCCTTCTGCCGCTGCTCCCTCTTCTGCTGCTTGCTCAGCATGTTGGGATCGTCAAAGACCTTTCCGCCTGCCGCCCTGCTGCTCGCCGCGTTCCACAGGTGGGTCTCCTGAATTAGGCGAGACAGAGAGGGGGACACACACACAGACATGGGCCAGTCAGATGTATGGATGGAAAGGAGGCAACGTGCAAGGGGAACAGGCAGCACACTGCTTGCTCAGCATGTTGGGATCGTCAAAGACCTTTCCGCCTGACGCCCTGCTGCTAGCCGCATTCCACAGGTGGGTCTCCTGGTTCAGGGGAAGGAGAGTACAAGACACACACAGACAGACATGGGTCAGTCCGATGTGAGGATGGGGGACAGCACACACGGGGAACAGGCAGCACACTGCTTGCTCAGCATGTTGGGATCGTCAACCACCTTTCCGCCTGCTGCCCTGCTGCTGGCCGCGTTCCACAGGTGGGTCTCCTGGTTCAGGGGAAGGAGAGTACAAGACACACAGAGACAGACATGGGTCAGTCCGATGTGAGGATGGGGGACAGCACACACGGGAAACAGGCAGCACAGTGCTTGCTCAGCATGGTGGGATCGTCAACCACCTTGCTTCCTGACGCCGTGCTGCTGGCCGCGTTCCATAGGTGCGTCTCCTGAATTAGGCGAGACAGAGAGGGGGACACACACACAGACATGGGCCAGTCAGATGTATGGATGGAAAGGAGGCAACGTGCAAGGGGAACAGGCAGCACACTGCTTGCTCAGCATGTTGGGATCGTCAAAGACCTTTCCGCCTGACGCCCTGCTGCTAGCCGCATTCCACAGGTGGGTCTCCTGGTTCAGGGGAAGGAGAGTACAAGACACACACAGACAGACATGGGTCAGTCCGATGTGAGGATGGGGGACAGCACACACGGGGAACAGGCAGCACACTGCTTGCTCAGCATGTTGGGATCGTCAACCACCTTTCCGCCTGCTGCCCTGCTGCTGGCCGCGTTCCACAGGTGGGTCTCCTGGTTCAGGGGAAGGAGAGTACAAGACACACACAGACAGACATGGGTCAGTCCGATGTGAGGATGGGGGACAGCACACACGGGAAACAGGCAGCACAGTGCTTGCTCAGCATGGTGGGATCGTCAACCACCTTGCTGCCTGACGCCGTGCTGCTGGCCGCGTTCCATAGGTGCGTCTCCTGAATTAGGCGAGACAGAGAGGGGGACACACACACAGACATGGGCCAGTCAGATGTATGGATGGAAAGGAGGCAACGTGCAAGGGGAACAGGCAGCACACTGCTTGCTCAGCATGTTGGGATCGTCAAAGACCTTTCCGCCTGACGCCCTGCTGCTAGCCGCATTCCACAGGTGGGTCTCCTGGTTCAGGGGAAGGAGAGTACAAGACACACACAGACAGACATGGGTCAGTCCGATGTGAGGATGGGGGACAGCACACACGGGGAACAGGCAGCACACTGCTTGCTCAGCATGTTGGGATCGTCAACCACCTTTCCGCCTGCTGCCCTGCTGCTCGCCGCGTTCCACAGGTGGGTCTCCTGGTTCAGGGGAAGGAGAGTACAAGACACACACGGACAGACATGGGTCAGTCCGATGTGAGGCTGGGGGACAGCACACACGGGAAACAGGCAGCACACTGCTTGCTCAGCATGTTGGGATCGTCAACCACCTTGCTGCCTGACGCCCTGCTGCTGGCCGCGTTCCATAGGTGCGTCTCCTTGGTTAGGGAAGAAAGAGAGAGAGACACACACATGGGTCAGATGGGCGGGAGACAACACACAAGGGACACATGAGGGGAACAGGCAGCACATGGCTTGCTCAGCATGTTGGGGTCGAATCAAAAGTCAACGGGAACAGGCAGCACACGAGTTGCTCAGCATGGTGGGATCATCAACCACCTTTCTGCTGCAACGTGATAAGAATGACTTTTGAGACGTCTCAAAAGTCAAGGGGAACAGGCAGCACACGAGTTGCTGAGCATGGTGGGAGCATCAAACACCTTTCTGCTGCCATATGCCCTACTGCTCGCCAGAGCCACTTCAGCCAAGGCCTTATCTCCCAGCTTCCGCCCCTTGAGCTTGCATTCACACTCATGCTCTCCCAGTCACCTGCTCTCAAACCCACGTGCTACCACAAACACCAACTCACCACTTTAGCCAATGCCTTGTCTCCCAGCTTGCGCCCCTTTAGTTTTTTTTTTTTTTTTTTTTCTAGCAGCTAGCTCCATGCACCCCACGCGCCCTCCCACAGTCCCCCCCAATTCCCGCGCACCTCACAGTCCCCAACTCACCACTTCAGCCAGCGCCTTGTCTCCCAGTTTCCGCCCCTTGAGCTTCTCCTGAATCTTAGCCGCTTGCTCCAGAAGCTTCTTGGCAGATACCTTCCCGCCCTCCTTCCCCTTCTTCCCGCCTCCCATCCCCGGCCCTGCTGCTGCCTTATCCCCCAGCTTCACCCGCCCAAACTCCAAATCTAAAGGAATCACCTCATCATCTGCTAACCCATGCCCCTCCCCTCCTCTCCCCCCTGCTCTTCCTCCTCCTCCTCCTGCTGCTGCTCCGGCTAACCCTCCTCTTCCTCCCTTCCCTCCACCCTTCTCCTTCCCAAATCGCTCCCTCTTCCCCTCCTTCCCCCCATCCCCTTCCCTCTCCTGCTGCTTCCGTTTCCCACCCACCACCGCGCCCTCCCTCTCACCCCCACCCCCACCCCCTCCTTTCCCCTTCTTCCGCTCCTTCCCCCCCTTCTTCCCCTTCGTGTCCCCCTCAGCGCCCGTCTCTCTCTGCTTCTTCCGCCACTCGCTAGCAGCAGAGGCTCTCTCCGCGTTCCTCCGCTTCCTCAGCTCCTCCAGTCGCTGCTGCAGCCGCGCTCTCAGCTCCTGATAGTCTGCTGCTCGCCCCTTCCTGCCCACTCCTGGTAAGCACAAGGGAACAGGGGGACAGGGGAAAGAGGTGACAGAGGGCTCTCCTCTCCAGTCGCTGCTGCAGCCGCGCTCTCAACTCCTGGTAGTCCGCTGCTCGCCCCTTCCTCCCCACTCGTACCAGAGGCAAGGGGCATGGGCGAAGGGAAAGGAAGCACGATAAACACACCTCGCATCACCACCACCCACCACTTCACACCCCTTCGCCTCCAACCCACCAGCATCATCACTAACACCGCCACCTTGCATCACCACCAGCAACCACCTAGTACCCCTCATCACCGCTCTCACCTGCTTCCTTCAACAATTGATCCATTGGATCGTCCATCTCCCCCTTCCCGCCCTTCTTTCCTTCCCCTCCCCCTCCCCCCCCTGTCCCAAAACCACCTCCCCCGAATCCGCCCGCCCCCCCGCGCCCTCCCCCTTGCTCCTGCTGCTGCTGCCGCGCCTGCAGCGCCTGGGAGGTGCGCTGCGCTGCTGCTGGGTCTAGCTGGGGGGGGGTAATTTGGGGGGGGAAGAAGGGGGACAAAGGGGAATTAGCGCCTACAAGCGCCTGCAGTGCCTGGGAGGTGCGCTGCGCTGCTGCAGGGTCCAGCTGTGGGGCAAAAAGAGAAGGGGACGGGAGGGGAGGGGGGGGAAGATGTGGGAGGAAGTGGGTGGAAAAGGGGAATTAGCGCCTACAAGCGCCTGCAGCGCCTGGGAGGTGCGCTGAGCTGCTGCGGGGTCCAACTGGGGGAGGTAATTTGGAAGGGAAGAAGGGGGACAGGACAAAGGGGAATTAGCGCCAAAAAGGGCATGCAGCGCCTGGGAGGTGCGCTGCGCAGCTGCTGGGTCCAACTGGGTTGGGGGGGGGGGGGGGGGGGGGGGGGGACGGGTGGGTGAGGGGGAGTGGGGGTTTTGTGGGGAAGGAAAGGGGGGAAAAAGGAGGGCGGGTAGGAGGGGGGAAAGGCGAATCAGCGCCTACAAGGGCCCGGGGCCTGAGAGGTGCACTGGGCTGCTGCGGGGGCAGAAGTAGGGGTGGGGAAGGGAAAGTAAACGGCGGGTGCTGTGAGAATTGTGGGAAGAGACTCCTAAAAAGCTGAGAGGCAAGGGGAGAGGAGGAGCAAGTGAGAAACAGACGAATCGAGCAGTTGTTTCATTTCTTCAATAAATGAATAACATATCGTTTTAACAAGGGACAATTCGCCTCAGCACACGGGCACACTAGAAAAGGTAGCACAAGGGTAATTTAAACCTTAAACCCTACCCCAGAATCTTGTCCGCTCATCTTGACTATCTTCCCCGCAGTGCAACACCCTTCGTCTCACCTCGACTCGCCTCCTCTCAACTCGACTCTGGTCGTCTCACCTTAAGCCTCTTTGCTTTCTTCGACTGCTCCTTAGCTGCCCGTTTCGCCTCTGCCTTGCCTCCCTCCACCTTCTCATACTTCTGTACTCGGTAAGGAGTGGACACGGTAAGGAACAATCGGAAAAGAAAAGGTTAAACGCAATGCTTGCTCGGGTAGCTTGGTAACTAGCACGCCATATAAGTGCGAAAGTGACATCAGCGCATAATATTCAAGTACCGTGGAGATTGGGACGTTCTCATAACAGAGTCAGCGCAACAGAGTCAGCTTATAGTGCCTACGGAAGCGACAGAGTAAGCTTTGTAACGCGTTAGCGCGACAAATTCTTCTTATAACGCGTATCAGGGCGACAGAGACAGCTTATAACGCGTACCAGGGCGACAGAGTCAGCTTGCGACGGGAGGTAGTGGCGCAGCGGTATGAGGTCCACGAGATGATCGAAGACTGAAGAAAGGATTTCAGAGAAAAATGGGCGGGGAAAGGGACGAGGAAAAGGACGGGAACAAGAAAGGGAGGAGAAAGGGGAAGCTGGGCGGCTGAATAAGACGAGGGGAATAGAAACAACAGTATTTAGAGGAGAGATAATGCTGACGTTCAAATCGGCGCGCACTGACATTGGCTGTCTTCCGCGACTCGCCGTTTTGTTGTCCCGCCCGGCTCGATCCGAGCGATGGCACCCATGCTCCGCTCTATAACGAGTCACCAAAGCAGTCGCTCAAAACACCTCGATAACGAATAACCAATCTAGTCGATATTAGTCTCTCAATCGCGAGAAACGCAGTCTCGCCCTTGCATAATTAACCCGCGAAAGTAAACCAGCATCCGCCCACTCATACAAAACGACAAAAATTGCGACAAACCCTCGAGAAACCCTGATTCCTACTAAGAGTAAATACGTCGTAAAATGACGGCAGGGGAATAATCCAGGAAGGGGTGGTGGATACACGCAGCGACACACTAGAGGCTCAGTAGGATCTCTAGGCTATGCAAAAGCCTGGCAGCTTAGAGTGCTAATGATGAGGCTATCTGGAATGACAAGTCTGCTGGGGTTCTAGCCTGCCAGGCTGGGAGTGTTCAGAGTTTCCAGTCACCAGGCTTCGACACGATTTACTCCGATACTGTACTTTTCCCCAAGGTGTAAGCACTGGAGTATTCCGTATCACTAGTATATTTAATCTGCGGTCTTTGTTAGTACAACAAGTTTGATTTTGAGAACTTATTGAACTGAGGGAGAAAATAAATCAACACATGGTAAAAACTCATCATCGTGTTGCTAATTACTTGTACTACCATATAGCACCTGTGTTTTGGAAATAACGAGCAAGGTTGATTTATTACCGTACGTGTCAATACCACTACATGTATCAGAATCTACCAGACGTGTACATCGTGCGCTGGTTAGAAAGCGACACGGGCCGGGCGGTTTTATGCGATAGAAAGCTGTTTGTCAGAGGCGATCAATCGCTAGTTTATTTCAACTCACTGACATTTTCCACTGCCAGCCTGGCTCCGACCGACTAGCCGCTCATCTTTGCCTGACGCGGATACCTCGAAGCTGACGGGGCGAGGAATCGCCAGCCAATGGCTGACGCAGAGACCTCCGAGGCTGACGTGGCAAAGAATCGGCAGCTGATAGAAGCGTCGCGCGAGGGCGATTTAACTACAGTGCTGCGACTCATCAAGTGAGGCCCGTCTAATGGTTTCCTCGTACAGTAACTAGAAAATTGCTGTCTGGGCGGCACAACCGCGATTCAAATCCGTGATCGCTGGGCTTATATGCTCGCTGCGCCGTACGACCGCGATGAAATAAGCAAAACCTTCAACATGAAACCCTAAACCCTGTCATAACTAGCGCCAGTATAGAGCACTCCTCCCCAATCCTCTCATACTCAGCACTTTCAAATCCTCTCCCGCTTTCCCTTAACGTCTCCCCTCCTCTTCCCCACCTTCCTCCTCAAACCACCCCCACTCCGCCTCCCCTCCCGCCTCCCCCCCTCCCTCCCTTCTCACCCTCCCCCTATCTCCCCATTCCCGCTTCCCCCGGCCCCATTTCTCCCCTATGTCCCCTTTTACCCCCTCATTTTCCCCCCTCCCTCCATGCCCTCCTTCTTCGTCACTCCTCTTCCCGCCCTCTCTTCCCACACGTCCCCTCCCCCCCCACCCAAAACCCGTCTTCCCAAACCCCCAGAGAAGGCTCTGACGTGGCGTATGCTGACATGGACGCGCAGGGGAAGACAGCCCTGATGGCGGCGGCGGAAGGGGGGAGGGCGGAGGTGGTGCGGGCGCTACTGGGGGAAGGGGCGGTGTGGAACGCGGTGGATATGGGGGGAAAGAGCGCAGGGGACTATGCAATGGAGGGGGTGGTGGCGTGGGGGGAGGGGGCAGAAGGGGAAGGGGAGGAGGAGAAAAACGAAGAGGAGAAAACTAGACGACAAGAGGTGTTGGATACACTGATTGATGCTGGTAAGGCTGTAGTTTGTAAAAAAGCGGGGGAAGAAGGGAGTGGGGGAAAGTTGAGCATGGGGGCGGTGTGGAACGCAGTGGGTATGGGGGGAAGAGCGCTGGGGACTATGCAATGGAGGGGGTGGTGGCGTGGGGGGAGGGGGAGGGGGAGGGGGAAAGGGAGGGGGACGAGGGGGAAGGCAAAGAAGAGGAGAAGACGAGGCGACAAGAGGTGCTGGATACACTGATTGATGCTGGTAAGGCTGTAGTTTGTGAAGGGGGAAGGGACGGGGGGGAAGAGGGAAGGTAAGCATGGGGAAGGTAAGCATGGGGAAGGTAAGCATGGGGAAGGTAAGCATGGGGAAGGGGAGCATGGGGAAGGGGAGCGGAAAAGGTCATCTGGGGGTGGGAGAGGGTGGAAGTGGCGCGGCGCTGCTGGGGGGAAGGGGGCATATGGCATAGTGTGAACAAGGAGTAAGGGGGGGAGGAGAGGGTGGGTGGGAGGCAGGCATCTTGTTTTTTCTTTCCTTTCCTTCTTTCCTTTCCTTTCCTTTCCTTTTCCTTCCCTTCGTTTTCCTTCCCTTCCCTTCCTGTTCCTTTCCTTTCTGTTCCTTCCTCCCTTTACCCCATCTCTTACGTGTCGTTCTCTCACCCCTTGTACAGGAAACACATTCCTTCTCTTTCCTTCCTCTTCCTTCCTTCCTTTCCCTTCCTTTCTCTCCCTTCCCTTCCCTTCCCTTCCCTTCCCTTCCCTTCCCTTCCCTTCCCGTTCCTTTCCTTTCCTTTCTGTTCCGTCTCCCCTTCACCCCATTTCCTACACATCGTTCCCTCGCCCCTCGTACAGGCATCAAAACAGAGCTCATTCTGGGCGCAGCCAGTAGGAACCTGACACGTGGCAGCACAGCAGCAGGAGCAGCGGAGCAGTTAGCACCTGCCCCAAATGCAGCCTACCTGTCAGAGCGCCTGCAGCTGTCTGAAAGCCGATTGGTGGACGGGGAGGGGGGTGGTGTGATGATGAAGTGGGAGGGGGCGCTCATGCAAGCACACGCGCAAGCCATCTGCCAACAGGTGTGTGTTGTGTTGTGCTGTGCTGTGCTGTGCTGTGCTGTGCTGTGCTGTGCTGTGCTGTGCTGTGCTGTGCTGTGCTGTGCTGTGCTGTGCTGTGCTGTGCTGTGCTGTGCTGTGCTGTGTTGTATTGTGTTGTGTTGTGTTGTGTTGTGTTGTGTTGTGTTTTTTTGTGTCGTGTTGTGCTGTGTTGTGCTGTGTTGTGTTGTGTCGTCTTGCATTGTGCTGTGTTGTGCTGTGTTGTGTTGTGCTGTGTTGCATTGTGCTGTGTTGTGTTGTGTTGTGTTTTTTTGTGTCGTGTTGTGCTGTGCGTGTTGTGCTGTGTCTCCCTCCCTCTCCCACTCCAGAAAGGGGATATTCTCAACATTGGCTTTGGCATGGGTTTGATAGGCACAGCCATTGCAGCTCGCATCGGCGAATTCTCTCCCACCTTCCCACCATCAGCATGGCCCCTTGCTCTCTCTGTCCTCTCTTCCTCCCTGCTTTTCCTTCTCTCCAGGGAGGGGATATTCTCAACATTGGGTTTGGCATGGGACTAATCGACACAGCCACTGTGGCTGCCACTGCTGTTACAAACCGCCGTGCGGCTCTCTCAACCTCTTCCAACCGCTCCCAACCTCTCTGTTTACTTCTCCCTCCGTCTCTCTCACTCCAGGGAGGGGACATTCTCAATATTGGCTTTGGCATGGGTATAATAGACACCGCCATTGCAGCTCGCATCGGCCAATCGGAGGGCGGCATTCGATCGCACACTATAGTGGAAGCGCATCCGGACGTTATAGCGAGGATGAAGGGGGAGGGGTGGCATGAGAAGGAGGGAGTGAGGGTGGTGGAGGGGAGATGGCAGGACGTGTTACCACAACTGGGCCAATACGATGGTGAGTATTCCGGGTACAACTGGTGATACCCCTGCTACAGTGGTGTGTTTGATGCTGTTGCTTCTGGGACAGTACGGTGGTCGGAGTGGGATGGCATGAGAGGGAGGAGTGAGGGAAGGGAGATGGCAGGACGTGTTACCACAACTAGAGCCATATGCTGGTGGCGTGTTACCAGTTGTACCAGCATATAGCCCTAGATGGTGCAACAGCTAGGGTACAACTGGTATTATCTCTGCTGCAGATTGTGCATTCGGTGGCGGCAGTGTAGCGTTGTTGCAGTATGGTGGTAACGCTACTGGTTCTGTTGCTGCTGCTGTGGCAAGTGGGCGGAGGGAGGGATGATGAGGGGGTTAGCATGAGCAGGAGGCAGATGGTGCGGGACGTGTTACCACAGCTAGGGCAATACGACGGTGAGTTCTAATCTGGGTATACCTACGGGGAGTATTACGACAATCTTCACGACTTCCATTCGCACCTCCCACGCCTCCTCAAACCAACTGTCCCCCTATTCCACCTATTCCTTTTCCCCTCCCTTCCCTCTCTCTCTGCTCCCTGTCCCTTTTCTCCTTGGAGGCATATGGAGAATTGCAGGCATATTCTATCTTTGAAAATATTTACATTTGGAGTGCCTTCTTCCACACCGTCTACTGCCACATGTGTTTCCTTGCTTTTCTCCCCTCCCTCTTCCCTCCCTTTCCTGTTCCTCCGTCTCTGCTCGCTCCATCTCCCATCTAAGCGGGCGTATTCTTTGAAACATTTGGGGAATATTTTGATGACCTGTGCGCGTTCCACTCCCACCCACCCCACCTTCCCTGCCCACTGTTCATCTGCTTCCTTACCCTCATTTCTCTCTCCGTGCAGGCGTATTCTTTGAACCCACAGATCGCTGCCCACTGCTTGCTGTGTGCTTGTCCGCCAAACCTTCTTATCTCCTCCGCACGGTCCACCCCACCGATGACGTCCTAGAGGCATTCAATGACTGGGATGACCATCTTCTCGATACCCTCATTTCCCTCTTCCCTCTTGACACACATGGGACCTTGACACGGCAGAGGGATAGCTAGCCCGCTCACAGGCCTTCTTACCGATTCGCTTAGGAGGTCTTGGGATTCAGAGTGCACGCAGGCACGCGTCGCTTAGCTATGTCCGCAGCTGGGCTCAAGCCATACCAGTCCTAGCCAACAACTGCAGCATACCGTTTCCTTCACCCTTTCATTGCCAGCGACGTGCTTGACCCCTTAGACCCACAGATTTCACGTGCTTTGGCTGCCCTGCCTGACGTCCTGCGTCACTTAGTCCCTCCCTGGTCCGCTTTCCTTGCTGGTTACCCGAACAGACTCTTTTCTGCCTTAGCTCAGCGCATCTCCGCACATGCAGCAAAGCAGTTGCGTGCAGTCGCTACCCAGCACCACCAGCTGGTCCGTTTAACCTCCCTTCAGGACCCATCTGCTGGGGCTTGGCTCACGGCTGTCCCCTCCGCTCCCCGCACGCAGCTCGAACCTGCAGATTGGTTGATTGCAGCAGAAATCCGTCTATGCCTCCCTGTCCCCCACCTCTGTCTCCTAGTATCAGCCCCGCCATGTTCTTGCAGGGAAGCGAAGCGCGTGTTTAGGAAGAGTGGGGTCAGTGTAGGTGTGGCTGCATGTACATGGCGGGGCTGATTCTAGGAGACGGAGGTCGGGGACAGGGAGGCCTAGGCGGATTTTTGCTACAATTTGCAGGTTCGAGCTGAGCGCTTAGAGCGGGGGGGACAGCCGTGAGCCAAGCGCCAATAGATGGGTCCTGAAGGGAGGTTAAATGGACCAGCTGGTGGTGCTGGGTAGCGCCTGCACGCAACTGCTCTGCTGCATGTGCGGAGATGTGCTGAGCTAAAGCAAAAAAGAGTCTGTTCGGGTAACCAGCAAAGAAAGCGGACTAGGGAGGGACGGTGACGCAGGTGGTCAGGCAGAGCAGCCAAAGCACGTGAAATCTGTGGGTCTAAGGGGTCAAGCACGTCGCTGGAAAAGAAAGGGTGAAGGAAACGGTCTTCTGAACCCCACCATACCGCACTGCACTGCACCATCTTCCACACCGTCTAGTCTACTGCCACATAGTCGCCCTGGAGCTGCAGCAGCACGTGGGGTCTTCTGAACACTCAGTTCATCCCTCTGCCCCTCCCATCCCACCAAAGCAGGCATATTCTTTGACACATATGGAGAATACTATGAAGATCTGCGAGAATTCCACTCCCACCTCCCGCACCTCCTCAAGCCCAGCGGGCTCTACTCTTTCTTCAACGGCATGTGTGGCGACAACGCCTTCTTCCACACCGTCTACTGCCACATAGTGGCCCTGGAGCTGCAGCAGCACGTGGGGCTGACCACTCAGTTCATCCCGCTGCCAGTCATCCGGTGCCTGGATGGAGACACGTGGGCGGGGGTGCGGCATAGGTACTGGCAGCTGGATGCTTATCACCTGCCTGTTTGCTACCGTGATGAGACAGAGGAGGGGGAGGAGGAGAAGGAACAGGAGGGAGTGGAGGGGGAGGAGGCATAGGTACTTGGGCGGGGGTGCGGCATAGGTACTGGCAGCTGGATGCTTATCACCTGCCTGTTTGCTACCGTGCAGAGGAAGTGGAAGGGGAGAAGGGGGAATAAAGGGTGGGGAAGTGCAGTAGGGGAGGGCGGGGGTGCGGCATAGGTACTGGCAGCTGGATGCTTACCACCTGCCTGTTTGCTACCGCAATGAGACAGAGGAAGGGGAGGAGGGGGAGAAGGGAGAGGAGGGGTAGGAGTGGGGGGAATAAAGGCTACAGCTGTAAAGGAGGCCAGGGGTACGGCATAGGTACTGGCAGCTGGATGCTTATCACGTGCCTGTTTGCTACCGTGGTGAGGGAGAGGAGGGTGAAGTGGGGGAGGGGGAGGAGGAAAGGGAGGGAAAAGAGGGTGTTGAAATTCAGTAGAGCAGCAAGTACTGGCAGCTGGATGCTTATCACCTGGCTGTTTGCTACCGCACCGAGACTGAGGAGGGAGCGGACGGGGAGAAGGAAGGGGAGGCAAAGGCTGGAGAGGAGGGAGTGAAAGAGGGAATAAAGGGCGGGAGATGTGCAATAGAGCAACAGCAATGTCATGTTTCACAAAGGCTTACACCTCTAAATGCCTAGGTGCGTACAATCCGGCACTTAGTAAGGCGGCTGGTGTTGAAGTAAATTGGATTTGCCATGCCCTTATGACGTTTAGGGAAACAGTAATGAAGGTTTCATAATGTAAAAATAGACCGGATGGAGTAAGCCTCGTATTTTTGAAGTAAATGTATGCTTTTGGCATGTGTCACCTGGTTTGGGAACACCGGAAAATCCGCTTCGTTGTATTGTTTCTATTTAATGAATAGACCTACAGAAATAAGAGCATTTGGCCGAGTGGTTAAGGCGTGTGCCTGCTAAGTACATGGGCTCTGCCCGCGAGAGTTCGAATCTCTCAGTGCTCGTGTTGTTATGTAAGTGCTCCCCTTTTGGCTCCGGATGGCCGTAAGCCCTCGTATTTTTACTAAATGTATGCTTTTGGGCATGTGTCACATGGTTTGGGAACACCTGAAAATGTGCTTCTTCCCTCCTTCTCCCCCCCCTATGTCCCTCGGTTTTACCTTGTTTCCCTTCACCCCTTGATTTCTCCTCCTTTCTCCTCACGTTTCACCTTGTTTGTGGAGAATTCTTGGGCCTTCACATCACACACCTCTGCGTTGCTCGCCTGCACGGCAATAGCCTTTTATTAAGTACGGTACTGTCATAAAGAGGTTATTATTAGATTTGCGAGATTGGAACTCGATAAAGTTGGCAAACTAAGCGGTTGGGGACTTTGCCGTCAGCGTAGTTATCCAGCCTACGTAACAACCAGCGTATCTGACGTGTGCTAGCCTCCCGTTCTCCTACGTAGCGGTCAGATCAACGAAATCCTGTCGCCAGATCGACGATCAGAAAGCGTCGCTAGAGAGCGTGTTTCGAGAAGATTATCGCGCACAGTCACGTGGTGAATTTGGAAGGCTATAATCAAAAGCGTTTTGTCTGGTCGAGTGTTAGAAAGCGTGTGTAGTCAGAAGAGCATCGCGCGCAGCCATGTGGAGAAAATCTCCTACCAACCCCCCATTACGCCGCGAAGATCACCCGTTTCAGGTCCCATCCTCCGATGTTCCTGCTGGCCCCAGCACTGCAGCTGCAGCCGCAGCTTACACCGGCGCTGCTCGCCGTTCCCCTTCCCCTGCAGCTTACGCCTGTGCTGCGCGTCGTTCCCACTCGCCTGCTGCGTACGGCGATCCGTACGCGTACGAGGGTGATGATCCGTACCAAGATGAAACGTATCAGCAGAGCTCGTATCAGCAGAGTTCGTACGAGCAAGGCTCTTCGTACCAGCCGCACCAGCAGCACTACCAGCGCGGATCCCGAAAGCAGCAGCAGCAGCAGCAGCAGCAGCATCGCCGGCAGCACCAGCAGCAGCAACAGCCGCCGCAATTCGAGGAACCTGCGTGGCTTTCCCGCCAAGTCAAGGCTTGCGCGCCCGCCCCAAACGAGCTCTCATTGGTCGGCCGGCCGTGGCTTATCCACGAGGACGATGACGTGGCAGCTGACGTGGCGGGCGGCGGCGGGCTGCTTCCCTGGAAGGGGGAAGATTCTCTAATGATAGACCGCTTTGATGTCAGGCATCTATTGGACGATCTTAAAACGATCAGGCGGAAAAAGGGGGGACGAGGAGGGGGGAGAGGGGGAGGGGACGCAGGGGAGGGTGGGGAGGAGGAGGAGATGGAAAGGGAGAGGTATGTGGAGCTGGATATGATTGAGAAAGAGGAGAGACGGAAGGCAGCAGCGGCAGAGGCGCAGAGAAAAGAGGAAGCGGCTGGGGGGACGGAGGATGTGTGGGAGAGGGCAGCAAGGAGCAGAGGAGGAGGATTTGCCGTGGCGGCAGCATCGTCAGAGGACGTTGCTGGGCATGGGCAGGGTACGAGGCTTGTTTGTGCTTTCTGGGACCGTAGCCTGCATGCGTTCTGTGTTTGTGCTAACGGGCTTGTTTGCTTTTCACGTGCTCTCTGTGTCTAAGCTTCCTGAAGCTCATGGCCATGCACTACCACCAATCAAGCTGCTTGTGTGCTTCGTTTCCCATTGTGGAAAAAAAATGAGCAATGGAAATTAGCTTAAAACAAAAAAACCTAAAACCTTGAAAGAAAAAGCGTATATACAAGACTGGCCAAGCCACCCTAATTTCGGCTGTAAAGTTGCTGTGGAGCTCATTTTTGTCCATTTCCCATGTTATCATTCAGCTATATTACTCAGTATTCTGCCTCGATCCCGCCTGTACCTTTTCTTCCCTTTCCCCGTTCCTTCTAAATTCGAGCTTTCTGTTACGCTTTTCTTTCCTAAGTCACCTTTTCCCCTCTTCATCCTTTCTCCATAGTGCAGGTTTCTCCAGCAGCAGTTCTCTTCCCGCGTATCTGTGAGGGTTATTGTACATTAGTTGATTGATTATTCCATAGCGAACAGAAACCGTCTAGTGTTTTCCCTTTCCGGCCCTTGCATGGTGTCCAATTCATTGCGCTTTGAGGCGCCTCAAAAGTCGTTTCATTGCACTTGAAAACTGCGGCTAGTATAGAACGTTTCACATTTTGTTTGTCACACTTACTCGCCTTGCTTCTCTCACGCCTCTGCTCCTCTCCTCCTGCATCCCTCCAATCCTTCCTTTTGCTTCTCCCTTCTTCCTGCATTCTCTCCCCGCCTCCCATCTTCTCTTCCTTCACCCATCCATCCAGCCCAGCAGGCAGTCACTCGCCCCGCCTATGCTGCTGTGGCCTTCAACTACACCTCCTCTGCTGCCCCAGTGGCGCAGCAAGGAGCCCATACTTCATCCCCTCACATTGCTGCTGCTGGTGATGCTCAAACAGCGGTAGCATCAACAGCAGCAGCATCAGCGGCAGCAGCAACAACAGCAGCATCAGGGGCAGCAGCAACAACAGCAGCAGGGGAAGCAGCGGGGGAAGGCAAAGCGAGTGGCTTCATGCCGCCCTTTGCAGTGCCTGCAGAGCTTCAGCACTGCCTGGTACGTTCCACCAATCGTTTTGGGTTTGAGATTCTGGCTTGTTCGAAGCAAGAGCAGCAACAGGGGCAGCAGCAGCAGGAGAATTCAGAGCGAGTGGTTTCGTGAAAAGGTATACACCATAATGGTTTGCACTGCTTCATTCGTACGTAAGGCAGGCGTGCAAGCAGAGATAGTGCTGAGAGTGAAGCACAAGGGCCACCTCTCCCTCGCCTTCCTCTCCCCTGACCACTCCCTACACCCCCATTCCTCCCTTCCACCACCCTTTCTCATTACTCCCTTTACCCTTTTCCCTTTTCCTCCCCCGCCCCTCTCCTGTTCCCCTTCCTTATCTTCTTCCAGCCCACAACAGAGAGAATTTACACCATCATGGCTCGTACTGCGTCATTCATTCGAAAGGCGGGCGCACAGGCGGAGATTGTGCTGCGAGTGAAGCACAAGGGCAACCCCGCCTTCGCCTTCCTCTCACCCAACCCCTCACCCCCTCTTCCCTTTTTCCCCTGTTCTCCAGCCCCCAACAGAGAAAGTATACACGATAATGGCCCGCACTGCACAGTTTGTGAGAAAGGCGGGCGCACAGGCAGAGTTGTGCTGCGAGTGAAGCAGCAGAGCAACGCCTCCCTCGCCTTCCTCTCCCCTGACCACTCCTTCTTGCCATTCCCCCCTGTTCTCCAGCCCCGATCAGAGAAAGTATACACCATAATGGCACGTACTGCTTTGTTTATACGAAAGGCGGGCGCACAGGCAGAGATCGTGCTGCGAGTGAAGCACAAGGGCAACTCTGCCTTCGCCTTCCTCTCCCCTGACCACTCCTTGCACCCCCGTTCCTCCCTTCCACCAGCCCTCTTTCTCAGTACTCCCTTTCCCGTTTTCTTCCCCTCCCCCACCCCTCTCCTGTTCCGGTTTTATCCCAGCCCCCAACAGAAAAGATCTACACAATCATGGTTCGCACAGCATCGTTCGTAAGAAAAGCGGGCGCACAGGCAGAGATCGTGTTGCGAGTGAAGCAGAAGAAGAGAAAACCCTTCCATCGCCTTCCTCTCTTCTGAACACTTCTTGCACCCCCATTCCTCCCTTCCACCCACCTTTCTCATTACTCCCTTTCCCCTTTTCCTCCCCACCCATCTCCTATTTCCCTCCCTTATCTTTTCCCAGCCCCCAACGGAAAAGATTTACACAATTATGGTTCGCACAGCGTCATTCATACGAAAGGCAGGCGCACAGGCAGAGATTGTGCTGCGAGTGAAGCAGAAGGGCAACATCGCCTTCGCCTTCCTATTTCCTGACACCCCCCTACACCCCTTCTTCCGCTTCCTAGTGGCAAATCCGCAGCTGGTAGAGCAAGGGGGGAAGGGGAAGGGGAAGGGGCAGGGGGAAGGGAAGGGAGAGGAGGAGAAGGGTGCGGGGAAGGGGGAGAAAGAGGGGGTGGGTGTGGGTGAGGGGACGGAGAGAGGAGGTGAGAGGGGCGGGAGGGTGAGTGTGGAGAAGGGGAGTGCTGTCTCGCTGCTTGGTGCTGCCTATGGGGAGGATGAGGAGGAAGAGGAGAAGAAAGAGGGTAAGGAGGACGGGAAGGAAGAGCAGGAGAGGGAGGAGGAAGAAGAGGGGAGGAAGGGGAAGGAGGAGGAAGAGGGAGAGGATGAAGGGAGCGAAGGAGGCAACAAAGAAGGGCGTGAAAGGCAACAGGGGGAATCAAAGGAGGACGATGGAGCATCTGAGGAAAGAGATACGGAGGAAAGGGTTATCGAGGGAGTGGAGGGAAGTAGGTGGTTCACTGAGTCAGAACCTGCTGAAGCAGCGGAGGAGGTGTCTGAGAAAGGAGGCGTGGAAGGTGGAACAGAGATTCCTTCAGAAGGTGATGCCTTACCAAAACAGCCTTGCCCAGAACAGCTGCCCCCAGAACAGCCTCCCCCTGAACAGCCTCCCCCAGTTGAGCCTCCAGTGGTCTCGGATGAGCCTCCCCCTCCTGGGATGGAAACAGAAGAAGAAGCAGGGAGAGCGGATCGGGGAGGCGGGGAGGGTGAGGGAGGAGAGGAAGGTGATGAATTGGCGGAGGGAGGAGCAGCAGCAGGAGCTGCAGGAGGAGCGGGAGGAGCAGGCGGAGAAGGAGGAGGAAGAGTAGCAGCAGGGGCGACGGGAGGGGAAGAGGCGGAAGAAGTGCCGGAGTCGGTGCGGGGCGTGGTGGGGAAGATGGTTGAGTTCATAGTGCGCAACGGGCACAAGTTTGAGAGCATTGTGCGGCAGAGAGATGCTGGGGAAGGGCGCTTCCCTTTCTTGCTGCCTGGGGATCGCTTTCACGCCTACTACCAACGAACACTGAAGGAAGCTCTGGAGGTGAGTGAGAGTGTGTGAAGTCAGGGGCAGGAGACATGAAGGGCTCAGGGTTTAGGGTTTAGGTGCCAGGTTGGGAGCAGGGGGGGTTGGTGGGGAAGATGGTGGGGTTTATAGTGCGCAACAGGCACGAGTTTGAGAGCATTGTGCGGCAGCACAGCAGGATCCTGGTGAAGGGCGCTTCTTTTTCTTGCTGCCTGGGGATCGCTTTCACGCCTTCTACCAACGGACACTGAAGGAAGCTCTGGAGGTGAGTGAGGGTGTGTGAGGGTTTAAGAGTAATAGAGGCACCAGAGGGAGTGCTTCCGCTTCCTGCTGCGAGAGATTGTCTTCGTGCCTACTACCAGCGAACACTAAAGGAGGCTCTGGAGGTGAGAGAGTTTGTGGCGTCAGGGACAGGAGATCTGGAGGTTTAGGGTCGGAGTTTAAGGTTTAGGCACAGGTTTAGGGTTTACGTGCCAGGTTGGGAGCGGCGGGTGGTGGAGAAGATCGTGGAATTCATAGTGCACAACGGGCACGAGTTTGAGAGCATTGTGCGGCAGAGAGATGCGGGGGAGGGGCGCTTCCCGTTCCTGCTCCCAGGAGATCGTGGAATTCATAGTGCGCAGATGGTACTTTTGAGAATTCTCAAAGGGCACGAAGTTGAGAGCATTGTGCGGCACAGGGATGCTGGGGAGGGACGCTTCCCCTTGTTGTTTGCCGGGGGATTGCTTTCATGCCTACTACCAACGCACACTAAAGGATGCTCTGGAGGTGCGAATGCGTGGAGTTATGGTTAGGGTGAGGGTTTATAGTTTGGGTTTGGGTTTGAGGTTTGGCACTGGAGTCGGTGGGGGGGGTGGTGGGGTTTACAGTGCGCAACGGGCACGAGTTTGAGAGCATTGTGCGGCAGAGGGACGCGGGGGAGGGGCGCTTCCCTTTCTTGTTGCGGGAGACCGCTTCCATGCCTACTACCAGCGCACACTGCAGGAGGCTCTAGAGATGAGAGTGAGAGGGACTAAGAGGGAGGAACATGGGCTCCAGAGCTAGTGCTTCCCCTTCCTGTTGCCAAGAGACCGCTTCCACAGCTACTACCAGCAAAACAGTAAAGGATGCTCTGTAGGTGAGTGCGAGTGTGTGAGGGTTTGAGAGGGACAGGAACACCGGAGGGAGAGTGCTTTCCCTTCCTGCTGCCGGGAGACCGCTTCCATGCCTACTACCAGCGCACACTGCAGGAGGCTCTGGAGGTGAGCGGTAGAGGGGTGATTGCAGGTGGAAGTAAGGGGACGTGGGCGAGGGGCGCTTCCCGTTCCCGCTGCCGGGAGACCGCTTCCATGCCCACTACCAGCGCACACTGCAGGAGGCTCTGGAGGTGAGCGTGGAAGGGTGATCATTGCAGGATGTTCTGGAGGTGAGAGGTAGAAAAGCTGAGAGTAACAGAAGCACCATGATTATCAACCCAGATCGAGTGCTTCTCGTTCCTGATCTAATTCTCATTTCTTTCCTCCCTCTTATTCCTCACCCCGTCCTCCCTCCCCCCTCTCCCCCTCCTCCCACTTCCCCCCCACAGTGCGCCAATGCCCCTCTGGTGTTGATGCCACAGCCACCCCACTACCGTGCTGCCAACCAAACTGCCTTCTCCTCTTCCTCTCCCCCCTTACCTTCCTCACCCCCCCCCTCCCCTCTTCCCTCCCACAGCGCGCCAATGCCCCTCTGGTGTTGATGCCACAGCCGCCCCCTCGCCCTCGCCCCCCCACTGCCGTCCTGCCTGGCAAACTGCCCGTGCCTGCATGTCCATCTCTCATTCCTCCCAACCTTCGCCCTTTCCCCTGCGTGTCTCTCCCCCGTTTTTTCCCCCACAGCGCGCCAATGCCCCTCTGGTGTTGATGCCACAGCCACCCCCTCGCCCTCGGCCCCCCACTGCCGTGCTGCCAGGGAAACTGCCCGTGCCTGCTGTCCGCAAACTGAAGGGGGCAGAGGCGGGTGTGGTTCTACGAGATGTGACTCTAGCTGGAGGGGAGTCTGGTAGGGGTGGTGAGGCGGAGGGAGGGGAGGAGGAGGGTGAGAGGGAGAGGGCGGAGGAGAAGGGGGAGGGAGCGGAGGGTGGTGAGGGGAGTGGGAGTGAGGGAGAGGAGGGAAGCAAGGGTGGGGAGGGGAGTGGGAGTGAGGGAGAGGAAGGGGAGATACGAGGGCAGGGAGGAGGGAAGAGGGGCAAGAAAAAGGGCGTGCAAGAATCAGATGAGGAGGGGGAGAGTGGGGAGATTGTGAGTGATGGTAAGGGTGACAAGGGAGAGAAGGGGGGGGAGGGAGAGAAAGGAGAAGAAGGGAGTGATAAGGAAGCGGAGGGGAGCAGAGAAGGAGCAAAAGGGGGTGGCCGGCTCAGTGCTGCAGCAGTGGCTACAGCAGTGCGTGCAGCTACTAGTAGATTCCCCCCCTCCTCTCGCCCTGCTTCTTCTGCAGCAGCAACAACCGGTGTTGCTGCTGCCACTTCTACTGCTCCACCTGCTGCACCCGCTGCTGCACCTACCAAGGCTGCTGCTTTGGTATTTGGAGAGGAAGAGACGGAGAGTGGGGCTGGCAGGAAAGGTGGTGGGGCTGCTGGTGCTGCTGGTGCTGCTGGTTCAGGTGCTGGTAACACGGGTGGTAACCGCATGAGTGCAGCAGCAGTTTTGGAGATACTGAGAGGGAGGAGGCCTGCGAGTGGACCGGGCAGGGCCGGCACAGAGCCAAAGTCCGCTCTGCCTGCTGGTCAACCTGCTGCTGCCTTGTCTGCTGCCGCTTCGTCTGGGGGATCCTTAGCTGCTGCTGTGCCTACCGCTACTGTCACTGGTGCTGTTCCTGCCGGTGCTGCTCCTAATGGTTTTGGTGCTGCTGATGGTGCTGTTGCTGCTGCTACAGCTGGTGCTGCTGCGGTGCAGGGAGGGGCTGTTGCGGAAGTATCAGCAGAGGAGCAGAGGCGGCTGGAGAGAAGGCGCAAAGCAAAGCTGTTCTCAGCCATGCTCTCTTCCACTGCTGCTGCAGCCGGTGCAGCCAGGGCAGCCGGTGCTGCTGCAGGAAGCAGTGATTCTGGGATTCTCTCTTCCACCACTGCAGCTGCCGGTGCTGCTTCTTCTGCTGCTGCTGCTGCTGCTGCTGCTGCTGCTGCTGCTGCAGGGAACCACACAGTCAGGGCCACTGATGCTGCAGCAGGGGGCAGTGATGGTGGTACAGCTCCAGCCACACAAGCGGCTGAGGTTGCTCTGGCAGCAGCGGCGGCGGCTGCAGCAGCAGCAGTGGCCAAGGCGCTGCCCCTTCTTGGCTTGTCGGGACAGGCTGATGGTGGAGTTGGGAAGATTGGAGGGGGAAAGGGTCAGGCGGCAGGCAAAGGAGCGATAGGAGGAGCAGTAGGAGGAGCAAAAGTAGGGGTGAATGGAGTGGAAAGTGGATCAGGTGAAGCGAAGAAGGGGATAGGTGGATTGAAAGGAGAAGCAGAAGCAGGTGGTGTAGCGAAGGAAGGGGGGAGCAGGGAGGAGGGAGAGAGGAGCGATGAAGAGGAGAGAAGAAAGGACGGGGAGGAGAATGGGAAGGAAAGGGGGAGGTCGAGGAAAAGTGAGATGGGGAGCGGAAAGGGGAGGGTGAAAGAGTCTCGAAGGAGCAGCAGCGAAAGCAGTGAAAGCAGAGGAAGCAGAGGGAGTAGCAAAAGCGGAGAAAGGGGAGTAATGAAAGAAAGGAGAGGAAGACACGAAGGAAGGGATGGAAGAAAGGGAATAGTAAGAAGGAAGAGCAGACCTACAAGCAGCCGGGATTCCAGCAGGGAACGCAAGGCAAGCACGAAGCGCAAACCAAGAAGGGAGCGCAAGCCAAAAGCTGTCAGGAAGAAAAGCAAGCGCTCTCACTCGCACTCACCCTCCTTGTCAAAATCATCATCCCCTTCTCGCTCCACCGCTTCTCATTCCTCCCCGTCCTCCTCCCCTACCTCCTCGTTTTCCTCTAGGTCCTCGTCCCCTTTATCCCCCTCTCGGTCACTTAGGAAAAGCCGCGGGCACTTAGGAAAAGCCGCAGGCACGAGGAGAAGCCGTGGGCACTTAGGAAAAGGGAGTGGTGGCGACAAGAGGAAAAAGCGTGAGCGCTCTAGTGAGGGCAGTGACAGTGATGAGAGGGAACGGCGTGGGCGGTCTATGTCGAGTTCTCCTATAACAAGGATAAAGGAAGGGGAGAGGAAAGGGAGAGGCGATGGGAAGGGGAAGAAGGCAGAGGAGAGGGAAGGGAAGAGGGGAAGGGAGAGGGGGGGAGGGGAGAGGGAAAAGAGAGGGGAGGGGAAGAGGGAAAGGGACGACCATAGAGAGAGGGATAGGGTGATGAAAAGGAGGTCAGTGTCTCCTGAAAGAAAGCGCATGAGAGGAGAGGGCAAAGGCAAGGAGAGCAAGCATACAGTCGAGGCAAAGCCAAGGGAAGAACAGAGGAAAGGTAGTGGGAAGGAGAGAGCAGCTGCGCCTGCATTTGGCGTGAAAAGGGAGTCACGTGAAGAGGAGAGCAATCAGGGGGGGAGGGAGATGGGGGAGAGCAAGGTGGGTGCGGAGGGGTATCCTGCAGCAAGTGTGAGTGTGCCTGATGACATTCGAGCCAAGGTGAAGGCGCTGCTGCGGAAGCTGTGAATGATGCTGATTTCGTGTACTCTCAACTGAATGCCAGGGTCTGGCGTAAGTATTGCAGGTTGGTAGATGACCTGATGGGGTGACGTTCGGTTCGAGGCTCGAGCCAAGGTGAAAGCCCTGCTGTGGAAGCTGTGAAGTAGGATGATTGATGTCCTCTGAAGTAGAAGATCTTCATTGCACACTGCATTATGTAGTGACGTGGCGATAAGTTGACATTCTAGCCAAGGTGAAGGCCCTGCTGTGTAAGCTGTGAGGCAGGGTGATTTGATTTTGTTGCCCTCTGAAGTACCGTAAGCATTGCACACTGCATTGAGATGTATTTGAGCCAACATAGAGAGAGAATTGCTCCAGGGCCTTGTTTGGTGATTCGCTCTTGCCCACGTGTCCCCGAATTGCTCGCGTTAACTTCCAATTCAGTGATAATTGCTCGAGTGGCCACGCCAGGGCATTTTCGAGGAATGTGCCGGGGAAAAAAAACACATCGAAAATGCCCTGACGTGGCCACTCGAGCAATTATCACTGAATTGGATGGCCACGCGAGCAATTCGGGGACATGTGGGCAAGAGCGAATCACCAAACAAGGCCCTGGAGCAATTCTCTCCAACATAGAGGCCCTGTTGCGCAAGCTGTGAATGACGCTGATTCCATGTTCTCTCAACTAAATTCTGTGTTTCGGTTTGGTGGATGAGCTGATGGGATGGCATATCAGCCAAGGATGAAGGCTCTGCTTTGCAAGCTGCAAAGAAGGCTGTTGGCCTCTGAAGTATCCATGTTTAGGTGGCATTCGAGCCAAGGTGAAGGGCGCAAGCCAAGGGGGGGCCGTCTGAAGGATCAAGCGAAAATGTTTGCAGATTGACTTGTGTAGTGACAATGTTACAGTGCTGTAGTGCAAGAATTCTACAGTGCTATCTGGCTACAGAGCGTGGGGCCAGCACACGGATTATGTGCCACTCAATCCTGGGCTCCTAATAAAGAGGACCAAGGGCGAGAAGTGGAGGGGAGGCGGCCGCAGCCGCAAACTCTCCCTCCCTCCCCCACTCACTCACTTCCTCGCTCACTCCCTCTCTCACCCCCTCCTTCAAAGACAATAGCTCCGCATTCGCCCCCTCCTGATCGCACCTCACTCGCAGCCCTTCGTCCACCCGCCACAAAATGACAAACTTATTGCGACCTTTCTCCCACCCCTGGGTCGCCGCGGCGGTCGCAACAGTCGCACAAGTCGCAGCGGTCGCAGCTGTCGCAGGCGTCGCAGCTCACGACACGTTGATGCGAACTTTGATGTTGCGCGCGCAGTCGTCGCCGATGCTGCTGCCGAAATACAGCGTCGTTCGCGACTCAGTGGGCGCAACTGTGTAACGAATCATTCCCCAGTACCCCTGCGGGGCCACCGTCTTGGCGAAACCGAACCAACACGCGGTGTAACCTAGCGGTGTCGCCCACTGTCGCACGTTTCGCATGCCGATCCAGCGGAATACTGTATAGCGGGGATGGGCGCGAAGAGGGGCGGAGGAGAATGTCGTGTGAGGAGCGTGTGAGGGTTGTGAGTCAGGCTTCAGTGGGGCATGTGAGGAATATGGGTGTGGCAGGGCTAAAGAGCTCATGGGGGTTGGGAGTCAGTTTTCAGTGGGCTGAGTGAGGGACATGTGCCGTAGCAGTGGGAACGAACACATGCAAAGGGCCGTGCTGTGCAGAGCTTATCAGAAGCACGGCAGTGCAGTGCAGGGAAGGGCAGTGCAGTGGAGTGCAGTGGAGCGCGCGGCCCTTTTCCCCCAGTGCGAGCAGTTTGCTGGTCGAATGGGGAGCATGCAGAACAAACTTGACCGTCCTATGCGCTTGAACAAACCGCGGGTGCGGTAGTACCTCAACGTGAGTCGGCTCTTACCGAGTACGTCGCCGGCCACGACGGTGGGTTGCTTCCACGAAGATACGCCAGACGCCCACGGGCTGAGGAAAGTCCAGATGTCAGTTCCCTGCCCGACTGTTATCATCTTAGCGTCCGCCGAGCCTGCAACATGGACATGCACATGAAAAGGGATTGTTTTGAGACGTCTCAAAATTATATCTCAGTTCCCTGCCCCACTGTTATCGTCTTAGCATCCGCCGAGCCTGCAACAACGGAGAAACACGAGCGATGCAGAAGTGGGGAGAGAGGGTACAAGGAAGGAGGAGTTGGGGAGAGAGGCAGGAGGAGGGATAAATTCTAATAGTTGATGCAAGGATGCCATGTGCGCATAGAGAGTAGGGAGTCAAGAAGCCTTACCGATGCAGACTACGGCGAGTACAAGCCCGAGCAGCACCAGATGCCGAGAGGCCATTGGTCACAATGAGATGTGAGAAGGGAGAGTTTGGTGCTATGTGATGATTGATGGGGACACTGGGGTTTGGCGTTGGGAAGAGTGGCGCACTGATGTGGAGGTATATGCTAATGAAGTGCATTCGTTTCGGCTTCTAGATACTAATGGAGATTCTTTCGTTCGACCTTATGAATGCACGCTGATCTCGTTTTTTTGTCCCTGCAGATTCTAACAGATACCACTGGGAGGGAGCACCGCACCGAGCAGCGAAAATGCGCGCAGTCGGGTGGCGACGGCGAGAGGACTTGCTGCGAGAGATCTCTGATCAACTGATACGAGCCGAAGGCGGGGATCGTGGATCAGAGGGCATCCACATTCTGAATTCTGTTTTTCTTCAGGCGCTTCGGGCACATTCACCAGGGCAATTTCTGTAATGTACGAAGCGCGAATTTGGGAAACAACGATTGGAATTTTGCGGGCGCGGGAACTTTTGTCAGCGGTTCGGCGAATTCAGCGAGGAGATCAGGGGGTGTCAGGACTTTCGCGAGCAAAGCTAGGAAGTGCTTGAGTAGGGGTCGGTGCGGTGACCCAAACCAAATGTCGGCGACGAAGAATTTGCGAAAACGCTTGCGTGGGTCACTGACACACACACCCTACCTGCGGACCCTGTGGAAACAAAAGCAATTCGAACAGTTACGACTGTGAATGTATCTACGTTTGATAATGTACTTACATTAAAAAACAATTCGAATTGTAAATCCTTCAATAGTGTTACGGGTGCAATGGAACGATGTAGCAAGGATTGCACTAAAGTGTCAAACGAGTACGAAGTATGAGCGAAGGCATGAGCGAATACTTATAAGCGAAAATGCAAACGGTAACGCGGCGTGTGCGAGCTAGCTAGTGCGGTGCTGGCATCAAAGTTCGAGCTAGTCCCGAGGCGTAGGCCGACTCGGTCACGCCAGCGATGCATGGTTTGGTGAATAGTGCGCGCGAAGGTTGGCGAAGCCACGTTAGCGGTAACGGGCGAGCAACAGCTGCTGTTGTACGTGGTGTTGTAGCGCGCGATAAGGAATGTCGAGAAAAATCCTTACACTACCCCCCACCCCTCCCCCCCCCCCCCCCCCTCCCCCTCCCCCTCAAGAAGCCCCCTCCGCTACGCGAGTGCGGAAACCCCGGCTCCTTAGGTACACTTGCAGGGCAGGGTGGTTTTCGATGTTGGCCAATGGCACCCAGCTGTTCTCTGTTGGAGTGCGGTCATTCCAGCGAACGAGGAACTCAATCCTCCGAATTCCCGTGGGGTGACGAATCCGATGGCTCATAATTTTTTCGGGGTCGATGATCGGCTCCGATGCAGGGCGAGTCATGGATGGTGGGCGGTGGCGTGGCAGTTGGCTTGTGGTGGCGATATATGGGCGAAGCAGGCTGACGTGGAACGATGGGCTGATGTACCAGTCTGTCGGTAGCAGGAGATGGGCGGTAACTGGGGTGATCATGTGGCTGATTTGAAACGGTCCAGAGTAGCGCGGTCGAAGTTTCGGTACAACGGGCAGGCGCGAATTCTGTGTGTCGAGCAGTACATAATCCCCTCACTGGTATGTTACTGGGCGGCGGTCGCGGTCAGCGTTCCTCTTAGCGATGACATTTGCATATTTTATTGCTTATGCTGCGCACGTCTGGGCAGCTTGCAGAATCTCGGCGAACTGTTGTGCGCGTGGCGTTGGGTTGTCCGGGCTCTGCGTCATGGGCACTGTACGGTTTTGCCCGTAGTTCAGGTAAAACGGGGACTGCTGCGTTGTCGCTGACGTGGCATTGTTGTAGGCAAACTCGATCAGCGGCAACTGCTGCTCCTAGGTTGTCGGGTCGTCGCACGTGGCACGAATCAGCTGCTCCATGGTCTGGTTCGTTCGCTCCGTCTGATCGTCGGTCTCGGGGTGGTACGACGAATAGAAACTGTAGCCGGGTCCCGAACTGTCAAACTTATATGCTATAGTCTGTGTAGGCTGTAGTGGGGTAGCTCATATGGGGTACAGCACATTTAGGGTTTCCTACTTGTACCCACATTGCTGCTAGTTTCCACATTCTCGTTTCCTATCTTTCACATGGTTTCAGAGCAGGTTCCCTAGTGGGAACACTTTTTTTTTCCTAAGGGCCCACCAATGATTTTTTCTCCTGCGCTGCCCAAAGCGCGCTGCCACGCCTGCCTGCCCTGTAGTGCGCCTCGCGCCTGCCTCACCCGCGCCCTAGCGCGCCCTGCCTTACGCGCGCCTGCCCTAAGCGCGCGTTCGCGCGTCTGCCCTACCCGCGCCGTCGCGCGCCCGCCCTACCTGCAGCCGCCGTCGCGCGCCTGCCCTACCCTGCCGCTCGTCGCGGCCCTGCCCTACCTGCTCGTCGCGGCCCTGCCCCACCCGCCCGTCGCGACCCTGCCCTACCCGCCGTCGCGGCCCTGCCCTACCCGCCGTCGCGGCCCGGCTCTACCCGCCGTCGCAGCCCTGCCCTGCCTCCGCCCGTCGAGCGCCGGCCCTACCCGCCCGTCGAGCGTCGGCAGCCGCCAGTCGGGCGCCTGCCCTACCCGCGCCAGTCGCGCGCCTGCCCTACCCGCCGCCGGTGGCACCTGCCCTACCCGCCCCTGGTGAGCACCTGCCCTACCCGCGCTACCCGCGCACCTGCCCTACAAGCGCGCTGCCGCGCCTGCCTGCCTGCCGA